TTGATTCTTTGTACTCCTTGCATTAACAAGCTTAGGATGAGTTTATTAAATTTATTGCATCTGCCTTATCACAAAATATTGCTGACGTAAAAGCCAATCAATTAAACATTGAAGAAATCGAAGTCATTTTGTTAAGATAAGTCAAATACTCTATGATCTAGGATGGGTACTTTAAAACCAAAAGCGTACAATTTTCACCATATACCAAAACAATGTCAATATCATAAATTACTAGCAGGTTTTCTTCTGTAATTTAAGATACAACATCAAGTAATATGGACTTTGATAGAGTGACTATTTTGAACAAAATAGTTGAAAATCAAAAGGAAGAAATCGCAAAGTTGAGTTCCCAATTGAATAATGGGCCTGAATTGGTTAGAAAGAAAACAGTCTAGATGAAACAGAAGGATCAAACCAATATATAAAGGGATTTGAAATAGGTGGAAGATGAAGACTTAGTGTTTTCTAATTTGAGAAGAAAGACTATGCATTTATTAAATTAAGAGGAAGTTGATGAGGATGTGGCTGTCTTAACTGATTACATTAATAAATTGGAGGAGGTGTTAATATTGAAACATAGAGTGGTGAAGGATTAGAACCTCAAAATCTTAGAAATGCAAGAAAAGAATGAAAAACTTTTTGAAGAAATATAAAGGCTTAAAAAAGAAGTCTAATTGTCTGAAGTTAAATTTATTGATTAAACTAAAATTACTCATTAGCTAGAAAAGGAAGTCAATGAAAAATCAAGAATAATTGATGAATATAAAAAAAAAAATAAGGAATTACATGAAAACTTGGTTTCAGCTTAAACTGAAAATAATAAATATAAAATATAATTACTTGAAGTCAAAGCTTTAGATGGAGGTTCAGCTAGGGGTGATGGGTAGAAATCAACGTCTTATTAAAGTGAAATTGTAAGAGTACAGGATGAGAATGCTAGACTATAGAAGAAGATTGCAGAATTGGAAAATCAAGTTTTAGAATCAAATTCCAAATCAAGTGATTAGAATGAAACAAGAAAGCTCTAAATTTAAATTACTTAACTCGAATAATCTAAATTTTTGATAAATGCTTAGTTGAGTCAGAGGGAGGCCACAATCACCTCATTGTAAAGATAAATTCAAGGACTTCTAGATGAAAACAACATGAAATCTGAAGGTGATTAAGTTATATAAGAGAGAAAAAAGAATGCTGAATTATAACTCTAATTAAGTAATTATCAAAATTCAGAAAAAGTTTGGAAGTCAAAATTGAGTGACATTGAACATAAACTAAAAGAGCAAACATTGATCAATTAGGAATTGAAAACTAAAGTTAACTCTTCAAATCCCTCCATTATAATAACAAAGGATGAAAATGATAGAAATTATGAAAGAATTAGAGAACAATTATAATCTGAATTGGAAGCTAAAACCACCTTAACTAAATAACTATTTTAATAAATAGAGGAATTATCTATAAAATTGAATTAAGAGAGATCCAAAAGTTAGAACTTATAGATTGAGTATGATCAACTATTAGAATAAACAAATTTCAGATAAAATAGATCTCAGACAATATAATAATAAAACTAATAAAAGGATTAAAGAATTCAAGACTTTTAAGCATAAATTGAATAATTACAATTGGAATTATCTAAAGCGAAATCATAATAATCATAACTGGCATCTATGCATTAAAATCTATAAGAGAACTTTAAAGCAGCGGAAATGAAAATTGTAGAACTGGAACATTAATAAAAAATGTATGTTAGAACTATATAAGAAAAAGTGGAGCAAGTGACTTCTCAGGAAACAAAAATCAAAGAATTAAACACTTAAAAAAATTCATTAGATGATCAATTGACAGAAAGTTTAAAAAAGTAAAGTGAATAAAAAGTGCTATTGGAGAGTTTGTAATTTTAAGTTGGAAATAAAGGAAAAGAATATGAAAATCTTAAGAAAAAAATCGAAGAATAGGAACTTATTATTTTAGGATAAAATGAAAAGATCCATAAAGTCAAGGAATCGAATGAAGCAGAATAAAATGAAAAGTCAATTCTCGGAACAGAACAAGAAAATCTGAAAAAATAATTATAAAATAAAGAAGAATAGATCCGCTCAAGATAAGAATAAATCAATGGTCTCAATGATTAAATTAGAACTTTGAATGAAAAGGTATCTAGTCTAGAATAGTAACGAACACTTTAACTCAAATAATTGAAACTTCAGGAAGATCAATTAAATTCTAAAGAAAGAGAACTCATGACAGAAAGATCAACCCTCACTTCTGAAAGAGATTTGTAGAAACAAAGGGTTATTGAAGCAGAGGCTCAGATATTGAAGTTGTAATAAAGTGATAAAAGATACAAAACTGAAATTTCAAATTTAAATGAAGAACTTCAACAATAATTATTAACTCTAGAACACTTGAACAAATAGATTAAAGACTATGAAATATAATAAAATTAATCTAGGGAATCTAATTTGGAAAATAGCAAAGTTCAATCAATAAGATTAGAAAAATTGGAACAATAAAATTAAAACATGAACATTAAAATTGAGGCTTAAAGTTAAGAAATTAAATAGTATACTGCTAAAATAGAAGAACAATTGACAACAATAACTGAGTTGAAATACAAGGTGTAGGAGGAGGAGAGCTTAAGAAAGGCAAAGGAAAAGTAAGTAAATGACAAAACCTAATAAATTGGTTAGCTTGAAAACTAATTAATAAAGATGCAAGAAAAATATAACTAAAGCAATAGATCATCATAAGATATACAAAATTAATACGATGATTTAAAGAAAAGATATGATGTTGAATTAAACACCATGCAATCTCTCTAAAGCAAGTCAATTGAATTTACCTCTTTATAATAAAGATACATGGAATAAAATTAAAAACTAAGCTCTTTAGAAAAACAATTGTTGGATTACAACGAAATATCTGATTAATATTAAAAGTAAAAGAAGGAACTTTAAAGTCTTACTGATTTACTTGATTCAAAGTTGGCGACTATTGTAGCTCATGAAACTAAAATAATTGATTTAACTAACTAATTAAAGGAATCAAACTCGTAGTTGCAATAAGTAAGAAGAGAAAATCATGAGATAATGCAGAAGAGAGCATAAGACATGTAGACTATGGCATAATTAAAATAAATAGAAGTAGAGAATGGAGAATTAAAGTAATAAGTATATTCACATGAAGCCACAATTTAAAATTAAGAAGCCTTATTATCAGTTCTGAAAGGAAACTAATTAAATTTAGAGTAGAGTTAGATGAAATTAAAAATTGATTATTAACATTTGGAGGAGAAGTATAATGAAAAGTTGATAGATTTGGATGAGAAATCGAAGGCTCTGTACAATTTATAAAATAAATTTGATTCATTGAGTTTTAGAGCTTAACAATCTGAAGAAAATCTAAGAGTTGTGGAAGATTAGAGAGATGATTATCAAAGTAGATATGAATTGGCCCTACAAGAGTTAGATATATATAAAGGAAAAGATAAGGAGATAAATTTGATGGCAGCCAACAAAATAGAATTGCAAGAACAAATGCATTCAGTTTAGAAGAAAAATAAAGTCTTAGAGAGAGAGCTTTAAGTATCTTAGAATGCTTTATAATCTAAAGAATCGGATATCCTATAACTATAACATACTATTTAGAAAAAGGAGTAACAAATAACTACATTAGAAGGCGCTATAGTAAAATTAAAGGCTGATTTGACTAATTCAAAAAATAGTTATGAATAATTATAACTAGAGTTGACTGAAATGAATTCAGAACAAACCTCATCTGGAGAATTGTTTTCATAAGTCAAAAAATTAACCAATGATAATCTAAATAAAAACACTTAAATTGATTAATTAAAATTGTAAATTAACGAACTTCAGGATAAAAATAGAAATCTTGAAAAATAATATAATAAATTAAGAAGTGATGCCCTAGTAGGTAACTCAGCTAATTCAGAATCCTTTGAACTTAGATCAAGGTTAGATGAATTGGAAGGATAATTTAAATAGTCTCAGAATGCAATCAAACAAAAGGATCAATAAATTCAAGAATTAAAGTAGTTGCTTGATAATCAAAGCTATCAACCCAATTAGAGAGAAAAAGAAAAATAAACTAATAATAAACCAATAAATAATAGTAATGATCATGATAATATGAAAATTTAAGAATATCAATTCATTATTGAATAACAAACAGAAGAAATAGAAAATATGAAGAGAAATTCATAAGGGCTGGGTGAAGAATTAACAGAATTGTTAACTTTAATTGTGAATGTGTTTTTAAAAAAGAAGATCAAGAAGGATCAATTAAATATTGCCACTGTTCTTGATTAAATTAAATTATTCTAAAAGGAAAATAAGACTCTTACTATAAGAGAAGAAGATGATGAATCATTAGTCTTATAGAAGCTGTAATAATATAGGGGAGATTATATCAACTTTAGATTCCGCGTAGAACAAAACTTAACAAGAATAACTGTACTAAAGTAACAAATGCTTTAAGTTATATCAGAAGCAAAAATCTAAGGAAAGAAGAAGGATGTCGATAAAAATATGGATGTAGAAAACTTAGTAATGTATTTTAAGTTGCTGTTGGATTCGTAAGCCGTCTAATACAGCAATCAATTGTAACTATGTTAGTAATATGAAGCTGAACTTAGGTCATACTAAAATAACACAAGTCCTCAAGGGTAAATAATATAATAAGTGAAAGAATTATTGTCTAAGGCTCCGTTTTTAACTTAATAATAAATATATTAATTTACAGAACCAAAGGTTTCAATTAAATTAAGAAAGGATTAAGATTAGGAAGACGCTAGATTATTATTAGAAGCTAGAAATCAATAAATTTAGTGGCTAAAGAACTTGATAAATGAAAAATAAGATCAATTAGCAGTTATGAACACATACTTAACAAATTTAAAACAGTTGATGGATAAATATCATTTGAAATGAAAATTATCAATATTTAAATAGAATAAGCATTAAAATAAATAAAATTAATCAACGATATATTCTAGATTCTGCAAGATTAGTTTCAAAATTAATAAACTTGTTTTCAGAGACTCCTCTAGGTCTATATTAAGATTTTGTCAGATTTTCTTTATTCAACGGCTTAGTGTATCTGTTATTATTATTTAATTTTTATAATTCAGATAATTGGACATATAATTTTTATATTTCTTAATCCTTATATTAACTATCGAATTCATTTTTATTTTAATATCTTTATCTTAAAACTTATAATTGCTAGATATAGTTATTGTTCTAATTATTTTAAAGAGTGCATTAATTGAAATTTTAAAAACCATCAGGTTATGTGTCATTAATATTGGATTATAAATTCATGACAGTTTTACTTAATTTAATGTTAAGTTCTTATTGATCTATCAATTTGAGTGTTATTACTTATTTTTACTATTCTGATTGCTAAAGCCTTTAGTTAAGTTATAGAATTTCTTATCTTAAGTAATTATTTTCTTCAATTAATTTCTAATCTGTAGATTTTCTAAATGTAAAATTTATTCTGTACTAATCAAGTTCTTCATACAAGGATTGTAACTCTGAACGCAGCAACACATTCTCATTTTCTAATTCCAAGACTTTGTTAATGTCCATTTACTTAAAGAAATATATGTAATTAATATTTCAGTTAATTGTTTATAAATAAAGAAAATTTCATTTACTTTTTAATTTGTTTTTGTAAATATTTTTGAAAGCAGTGAGTAATTTTATTATATATTCCTTATCTCCTTTTAGTAACTTCTCTTACTCTATAACTAGTTCCAAAGGCATGTCTAATTTGTCTTTCAAAACACTGAAGGCCTTTCTTATATTCACCAAACAGCCTGCGTTAGTATTTGGTTTAGGTTATAATCCTTTAAATTAGATATTTTCAAGCTTTTATACTATGGAGCAAATTATCAAACTAATACGTTATTTATAATAATTACCCATCTTTGAATTCTTCTAAAACCTCATTATTCCAATTAATTTTGTAACCAAAGCTATTGAGCCATTCGAATTAGGGAGGATCATCAAAAATTAACTTTTTGGTTACCTATTATGGCTAAGTGAAGCTACTTTCTTTTTAAATGAGAGAAAAAGGCTCTTACTAAATTAAATTTCCTATTTTAGAACCTCCCTTGCTTTAGACAATAGATTTTTTTAAGTAAGGGCCATCTTCAAAATATGAATCCCCTTGCCTTTGAGGTAGGCCATCAAAGTATCTCCTTAAATCCTCAAACAAACCCAGAATTATTAATTAATCTCCTTCATATATTAATTTTTCAGACCAAACGAATCTCTGCCCTATTGGTTTTCCTTTTAAATAATCCAAAGCCTTTCTAATATTTGCTATGCATTGTTTTTCTCCAATTGGTTTAGTATAAATAGGAGTGATTTTCTATTGAAATATTTCTGTTTCCACTTAACATAACAAGATTCCAGTTTAACATTGGAAAATTAGATCATTAAAATTTTATATCGTAGATGTGTATTCTCTAGCAAAGTGAAGGGTCATCAGTTTCAATTAGTCAATCTCTTCTTATCTGTAGGGAAGTGTAAAGGAATTAGTAATGGGTTCTATCTTTTTGGTTTACTATTTTAATAGCCACCAATACAAGCCCATTGCGGATTTATCTAATTACATAATGCTTGATTTATTTATTTTTCCAATCCATGCTGGCAAATTTCCGGCATCCACTATGGCTTTTGTTGCTTATAAGGCTGTGTCCACATTGAATTCAACTTCTAAAATAGACTTAAAATTGTTATGAGTGATTGGTTATTCTAATAATTATAGTAAATAGTTTCCATTACGAATAGGATCTGTAAACAGACTAAATATAATAAAGAACATACTTATCATTATTGTAAAGACCTTTTTATTTAAAATAAGTCTAAACATACAATTCCATCTCTCTAGTCACACAATTTTTACTCATTGATGTAGATCGAGCTTTTTATTATTATTTTGAGCTGCTGAAATTTCTAGAATGTTACAAAGACTAATTAACAGGAGTGCCATTTTAAGAGCCAATATTTGATTTTTTCATTAGAGAATTCAAAGATCTATTGACGCTATCGTATTCTTATTTCATATTATGAATTCTTGAATAGGGACCCACAGGTGATCTGTTTGCAGTGCTGGGTTTTACAGATTTCGATTATTGAGGTTGATCTATTGTGATTTCTAATTAAGTATCTGCAAAAGAATGTTTATGCTACTGTTTTTTTTAAGAAAGTGTGATTTGTTATTGTAACTTGGATTAAGAATGCTATTAAAATGATTACGTATTTTGTTAAACTGGTTATTATTTTTAAGTCTATCTCAGTGAGGTATCAACAGATTAAGAATGATTTGCAATAGCTACATTTCCACAATTAGCATAATACACTTTTATATCATGCATTAAACCCCAAAAGGCTTCCTCATCTCCATCAACCAGCTATTATTCTGAATTTAAGTATTTGTAACTCATTCTTTCAAGTTATTTTAAGTATTCAAGAACTCGTCTATAATTATGTCTGATTTCTCTAACACTTTTTGGATTTCTTAAAGCTCCCTTTAAAACTTCGTCTCTGCCAGTTAGTCTATTAATTAAATCAAAGAAAATGACTCCATTTTTACAGATTTTAGGTAGTTTATTTTCTAATCCTTATGCATTTGATTTAATTAGTCGAATTTATTTAAGCCAATCAATTAATTGTTATTTTTATTCACTAGTAACAGAATTTTATAATTGTTATTATTACTATTAGTATTATTGCTATTATTATTATTAATTGAAATCTTAATTTACTAATTCGTGTTAACTTAAGCTTTCCTAACTATGCTTAGATTTATTTTCTCTAATTTTTTTTTATTAGAGATTCTATTATTCCTTTACAATTTGATTTTCTAATACTTATAGTTCCTACTTTAATTTCTAATTGTATGACTCTTTGTTATTAGATTTAATTGGCGTCAAATTGCTAATTGAATCACTTGATTAATTTTATGGTTTGGATCTATTTGAAGTTTCAGCATATTCAGTTTAATGTGTTTGCGATCTTTATTGATAATTGTTTATCTCTTGATAAGGGCTATTGGGTTTAATCATTTTGTATTTGTTTGCAATAATTTCTTCATTAGAAGTGATCTGGATTGATTAATTTGGTTAGACTAAATTTTCATCAACATAGAATAACGGATCGTCTTATTTTTGAGGTGCTTTAGGTGGTTTTGATGAAGCTGAGGATACAGATTTCGATCTATAAAATTATTAGAGAATCTAAAAAATCTTTAATGGATTTTGGTATAGCATTTATCCAGTTAAATGCTTCACTGATATCTATTGGCTTTCCTCTAACAAAGACAATGCAAAGGTTAAATTCCTTATACAACTTTAGTAGTCTTGTTTTGTGCAATTTATTACTCTTATCTTTAATTCACATTATCTTTTGTCTTAAAATAATTCTTTCGATATTATCTAACATAATGCAACACCTTGAATTTTTATCAAAAGATACCTGTTTTTAGATCATCAATACTCTTTGTGTTTTCAAATGTATTAGCCCAGTCTATTATTTCTTATTCCATTCAAATTTAATATAACAGTTAATAATAATAATTTATTTATCATTTTTATATTTGCAATTTGTTATATTAATCTTCTAACTATGCCAAGAGTCTTTCGAAATCGTTAACTCTGAATGAAGTAAAAAATCTGGATTTAGTTGTAATTATTGGAACACCCCTCGGATTTTATTATCTCTCTTGATCTAAAACCTTAAGATTCATTTTAGTAGCTAGATTATTAATCAATTCAAATACTGTCTAATTTTTAAGTGTACTTAGAATAGTACGCTCTTTCCAATTCGTCAAGTTGGATTGACTGCCTTTTTTACTATTGATTAGCTTGTTGACTGGGATTGATTTGAAATTAGGATTAATTCTCTTGCATTAATTAAACCTATACATGTAACGGACCCTATGATTTGCTCTATTAAATCTATTGTTATTGTTATATTAGCTATTATTATTATAATAATTATTATTAGTAATTTAATGGTAAATCTGTTCCCTTTTATTCAAATCGTCTAGAGGGAGATTTATTGTTAATATAGGCTTTAGGACTTTAGGGAACGTCTTCATTACCATCAAGTTCTGGATCTTCAATTGTATTTCCAGCATTCCAACAATTTTTAACTTTTGATTTAACCGTTTTAGGATCTACTTTTGGGTTTTTTAAAGGTATCTATTTAGATTTTCTTTTTAAAAAATTTTTTGGTTTTTGATCTGAACCATCATCTTTGGGAGAGCCTTCTTCAATTTATTCTTTCCTGGGTGTTTATTTTTCAGGAGTAGCACTAAGATTATTTTTACTTGACTTTGGTGATGATTATGATTGTTTCTCTTACAGATTTTTTTATGATAACACTTACTTTTTAGAGGGTATTTATTATTATTATTATGGTTGAACTTCTTTCTCTTCTATCACTTCTTCAACATCCACTGATTCTAGTTATTATTGTTCTTCTTGTTTTTTCTTAGCTTCTTAGATTGCTTTTCTTGGATCATATTTTGTTCTCTTTTTGAGATTCTCCAAGAGTTTAGGATCCTTCTTTTTTGGTTTTGGTTTCTCTTGATCATTTTAATCTTCATTTTAGACTCTTCCAAAGGGTGGTTCATTTTCATTTTAATTATCATACATATCCTATTATGGAACATCCATTTATTTATAATCCTTCTTTTGCTCCTTTTTTTTCTTAGGTGGTTACTTTTACCTCTTAGGAGGAGCTTCTTCTTCGAACTCACCATAAGTACCCTTTCCACTAATGGGCATATCATCAGCAGGTATATTATATTGTCCTTTACCCCCTAATGGTCTTTCATCTTCAAATTATTAATATTTGCCTGTGCTAGCTATTGGCCTATCATCATTTGGAAACTATTCTTAATCTAGTTAATATTTATCTTTTCCAGATTTGATTGGTCTTTCATCCTCATATTGGTTATAGGTGTTAGTGTTTTTGGCTGTTATTGGTCTTTCATCTTCATAATAATTATTGGTATTCTTTGCATTTATAGGTCTTTCATCTTCATAAAAATTCTATGTGTTATGGTTTTTTGCACCTATTGGTCTATTATCCTCTTGGTATTAGTACTTGCCTTTTCCACAAATCGGTCTATCGTCCTCATATGAATTCCGTTCAGGGGTTGTCCTTTCCTAAACCTGATAATTGCTTTGATTTTTTGATTTAATTGGTCTTTCATCTTAATAATAATCATATCTTTAAGATTAATTATACTATCCGGACAGATTTGAGTTAGAATGACTTTTATCACGAATTTATGATTGCTACTGCATATACTCTTGATAATAAGGCTATGGCTATTCTGTATATTCGTTTTGAATTAATTAATCGTAGTATTATTGTTCGACTTAATTTTATTTGGGTAGTTATTTTTAAGGTTTTTTGTAATAATTTTATTAGTAGTTTTAGTCTTAATTAACAAATTCGTTATCCATCCATTGATTACGAACGAATTATTTTTAAGAACTTTTGACTCTTTTTAGTTTTTTATAGAATTGGCCATTCTGCAAATAGTTATCAATCATTCTTATCAAGGTTATCTTTTTTTATCTTATTTATGGATTTCCATATGCTTGATATATACATTTATATATGTACTTCCATCATCAGTTTCGATAATATTTTATCTCAACTTAGCCACATCAGGAACTTTCATTATTTATCTTGTCCTATATCCTAATAAAATGGAATTGATGAATAACCTTGAATAAATCCATTTAAAATAGCCTTGAATCTTCTGATGTGCATCATAATAATTTTATGTCTCTATCTCTAAATGTATCCCTTCACATTCTTTTAAATCAAAGTGGCGCAAAAGTTAAGGAATTTAACAATCATTTCCTGATTCTTTTATTAGTCTTATCGTTACATTATAATTTTTAATAAAATTTGATTTAATAAAATGCTAAAATCATTCACTTGCCTCAATTATGTTTATTTGTGTAGTGGCAAAATTGTGCAGTCTCAAATCCAGTCCTATTTCATCTAAAGTGTTTTATGCCTTCTATCTGGCAGTCTTAATTCTTTTATCGATTTCACTGAAATCCACTGGATCACATCCTGTAATACCAGATTTAGAAGGCGATCCTTGAGTGTGAAACGAATGAAGTTGTGACTCCAACATTTCTAACATAAGCAACTTTGATACCTCTTTGCTTCCCAATCGGATTAAGGAAAGTAGCAAAACTGTCTAGTAGTGGATGCAGAATCTGCAATAGACTTTAATAGTTGGGTCTGCCTTCATTATGCAATTTGAGCATGGATTGAATAGTTGATTTGAAGAAATCGCTATATTAGTATCTCGAACAATATTTGTCAATTAGTTGATTTACGTAGTCTCTTTTAAAGAATAGTTTCTCTTGATTGTAGAATTCAACGCATCGTTGCCCACTCATTAGGCTGACCATCAGAAGGCCCAGACAAAAGATATTTACTAATTCTTAATCTGTAGTATCATTTTTATCTCGAGCTGCCAAGAGAATCAGCTGTTCTGGAGCTACATACTCTAAATCTCTTTGGTTAAAGAGAACCTGGTAATAATTGCTAATTCTTGAATTTTCAAGGAACTAATCGAAGTGTTTGATTTATCTTTGATCATCAATTAGGATCCTAGATGGGTAAATATCGATTATTTCATTATTCATCGTTTTCATATAATGGCATAGATTTGAGATCTCATATATAATGTAGCATAGCTCTTGTTCCGAATATGTGGTCTTATGGACCTTTCTGAGAAGGATGTCATTATGTAATGTGTCATTCAAGTATTCAACTGTTATTGATAATACTACGTATGAGCTGCAAAAGTCATCCATATTTCCACTATCAAAGGATAATATTTTAACCAGGCATTTATGATTCAATTGCAATCTTACTTAAATTCTACAGATTACCTTTTTACTAAACTGGCTTTTATTGATTCGACTGATGTATCGCTTAAGAAAACCTACTTAATTTCAGCAAATATTAAATTGTTAGCTTTATTCTTATAGATACTAATTTCTCCATAGTTGGGATCTAATTTCTTTTCTAGAAACTCGCTTTAAGATTCGCTTTATTATTAATTACCCATTTTTAATTGTTTTATTTTAAATTAAATTTATTTTCTGCAATTATATTGATGCAAGAAGTCATTTTAACAAACGACGCAAAAGCAAAAATCCTCCATGATTACTTATCCCAAACATATGTTCCATAACTCAGTGATCATCTTTTTAAGACAGATGAGTATTTAAAGAAAGAAGCAGAAGATTTTGAAAAGTCATGTTGATTACTATTTTAGGATTATTAATCAAAGTGATGAATTAACAGAAGAGTTGGTCGAAAAAAAAACAGTGATAAGTAGAACTGTCAAACAGCTCATAGATAAAATATAATCTGAATAGGTATGTCCTATATTTATATTTAGGAAAAACTCAAAAAAAGCGAAACCTATAAAAAAGGCAAGAAAGATGAATTGGCTGCTATTCAAAAAGCTATAGATTCCATCTCAAGTGCTATGAAAGAAACCTGTTCAAAAGTAATTCGTTATATCACCATATACAGATTGATTCAAAGGAACTGAATAAAATTGGTCAATTACCATAAGGAATGGATTAATTCATGTCAAAATTGTTCCACATCATCTACAATGAAGATCAAGCCAAATTCAATTGGGCTGATTTCAAAAAGAAAGTGTATTATTCATTAATTAAATTTTCAGTTTTGATTAAGATAAAGGGGCTGATTTTTAAAGTAGATTAGCTAACTTTTAATTTAAAGGAGTAAGTCAAGAGAAAGAAAACTTATTACTCGAGATGAAGGCTGATCCACAATTTTAGAAGGTCTTTTAAGATCCTCAATACACAAAAGCATTCTTGGACATAGCTGATTGGGTATATATTATGACAACTAAAATAGATTCACTTTGCCGTTTCAGGTATTGAGAATTAAAAAAAGAAGGATCAATCAGCAGTAGAATTTGAAAGAATCGACAAAGAATTTGCAGGCAGAAAGGTTGAATTAGAAAGCTATTAAAGAACCCATGTAAACATTCGTTATTAGCTATAGGATTTTTGGGTTTCATAACTTAAATACGTTGAGGATTAACAAGTTTTATTGCATTAATTGTAACCAAACATTAAGCAAGTGGCTCAAGAAATATAAGGTAGCAAAGGGTTATTGGAACAACACATTGGAAAATTCATTTAGGGAGCTGAGAAAATTAATGAGTTAATGATTCCAAACATTTGATAGTATAATAAAAACAATAATTTATAAGTCATAATTCTTACAAAAACAATGTTATCATTTATCTGTTCTGGATGACAATTTTAGTTTATTCCAATATTTACCATATCTCGATTTATGTAAATCCGACATCGTTTATCTTAGTCTTTCCTTCTATAGATTTTAATATTCAAGTAAACTTAATTCTGCTTTATGCTATTATTTTATTTCTTCAAGAGATTCCACTCTTGTTTCTTGTCCTGCATCCATTCTTTAAAGCAACTATTTCATAAAGTCCTCTCCTTTCTTGTCGTCTTTCCGATATTAGGGTATTAATTTAGCTTTTTCATTGAACTTTTCATACTTAGTGATCATTCTCTCTATCTTTCCTTCCTAAAACAACATGAAATTAATTTTTTTTGTCAATCCTTCCTCAACTCTATGTTCTATGCTTAATAGGATGCATACTTGATTATCTCGATGATATATTCTCACTGTAATTCGCATATTTATTTTTCATGTATTGCTTCTATCTAAAATCTAACTAAGGCAAAACTGCTTGCGAGTGGATATCTCTATTTCCATAGTGATAGATTCTTTATCCTACCTTCTGCATTTCCTTTTAAACAAATAAGGGTTGTTTCTAAAATTTAGTCTCAAGAAATTCGATAATTTACTCGGGAGACTTTAACCTATTTTGCATTAAAGATGCATAATTATCTAATTGGTCTTGTGCTTTAAGCTCTTTATCAAAGAAATGAGCCAAACTATCTATTAATTAGATGTTTGCGTTTACCTTAACTTTCTTTGACTTGAACTGGTTTTTGGGGTTGTCTGTTTTATTCTCTCAGCTATTCTTGTAGTTCCCTTCCTTTTTGAGTCACTGTGATTCTCTAAGATAATGACATATTAATAATTTTCTTTTGATATTATATATATATATTTATTTTAATGGCTCAAACAATGTTAAATCTAAATAACTTGCTTTTTTCTTATAATGCTTATCGAGTGAAATCAGAATAAGAATTAAATGAAAGATACAATCTTTTTCAATAAGCCATAAATGAAAAGCATTCTGAATAGTTTTTTCTTTTGAACTCAAAATATAATGGATTATATGAAAAAATTTGCAGGGAGTGCAAGCAGTCAAAGAAAGCCTTCAAAATCTCTTTCTTAATAACAAAAGACCAAGATTATACATTGTTTATTTACATTAACGAAAATGATAAACAAGTCAAAATCGAATATTTACCTCTTAATACTCTGAGATAGATATCAAAAACAATTTACAAAGTTGTGCATATTGAGAATTAATTCGACTCACCCGAAGCTCATATTCCAAAGGAAGAGTAGAATAAGCACGATAAACTCGACTACTTTGGACAAAGCCTGCTTTTGTTGCCGAATTAAAATATGTATATTTTATAAATTTATTTCTATTAGAGTGAAAGGACGATTTAGCGAAACAGGGATTCCGATTTAAATTCCAACAAAAATAATTTACAATGGAAGCAATTGTTTTGACTTAAACTTTGCGACAGATAAGTATATACCGAACATAAATGCTTTAACGATGCAGTCTCAATACAAAGGGGAAGTTAATGATAGATTAGCTCCAATAGGTGAAGGAACCTTTTCCAATCCCAACTTTAAAATAAGTGCAGTTTTTCAAGAAGGCTTTTACTAAGGTCCCATTAAGATTGTTACTCTCCCAGAAAATACTATAAAGTCAGTGACAAGAATTAATGATAAAACTTTATTGCCTATTTGCTATCAAAAGGAAAATCTCATTGACTATTACGTATTCCAAACTATTTTTGAGGGTAGATGGATCAATCAAAAGGTTATAGATTACTACCTATATTATGCGAGTAGAGATATAATTAGAATACATGAGAGTGAAATTGGAAATTCTAAATATCAAAACTATATTATAAACTCTTGCGATTCTTCAGATATATTTTCTAGTGACATTTTTGAGCAATTATATTTCTCAACAGAATTTTGGACGTCTTATAAGAAAAATTATAATATTGATATTCTTAATAAGAAGAATAGATACATATTCGCCTTAAATATTGGAAGATCTCATTTTGTTGTTTTAGTGTTAGAACAGAATCAGAAGGGAGAAGGAATTCTGTACTTGCTGGATTCGATACCCAACGATTTCACTGAAAGTTAATAGGAAGTAGCAATCAAGAACATAAATAACATATTTCCTCATTTAAAAATAATAGATGAAAAAAAATTATATAGAATAAAAAATATTGAATAGTAGAGAAATGGCTATGATTGTGGAGTACATTGCATCTATAACTCCCTTTTGGTATTTAAGGAGTGGAATAAAGATATAAAAGAAATAGATTTTGAGATAAAAAAGAAAGAGTTTATGGATATGAAAGTTGATTAGAATAAGAATTATGATAATAAGGATAAAACTAAAATAAGCAAGTTGCGCAGACATATATATTTTACAATGATTAACAATTATGCACATAGCTTGCATTATTGAGAACATCATTGAATAATTTGAAGTTAGTTTATAATATAATATAATGAAATTTGATAAGCTGCATTCTCATAATCCATCACCAAAAACTCTTGAATTCACTTCCACGACCAAATCAACATTTGTACCTCCACCTCTTGGTTTAGAAATTGTTACGATGCCCAACAACAAAATTTTCGATCTCTTTCTAAAAGGATCTATAAGTGCAAAGTAGATGTTGTAAATGGATAATAACGATATTGAGAAATCCCCAAGAACTCCTCCTAGACGTCAACAAACAAGGCATAAATCCATTAAAAAAAATTAAGCTGACTAAATCTTCAATCTTGTTGAGAGATTTTAACAATAAAGGAAATAATCTATTATAATACCATAGAATCCACAACCCAAAAATCCACCAAAATTAGTAAGGAAGGAAACATTAATGCAATTGACATCAAGTACCAAGGAACTGCTTCAACCAATTGCATAATCTAGATTCAGAGCAGTGAATAGAAAATTTACTTAAAGGAGCATGTCTGGCACTAAGGAAGAATAATTGATTAAGAGATGTGAAAAACTCAGTGGTGAACGTTTGAAGGAGGAAGAAAAAGAATTATTATTAAAAAAGGAAATAACTGATGAAGATGCATGGAGAATGATGAATGTATTTCAAAAGAAGAAATGGTTTTTTGATTATGTGCATAGAAATCTAGATTAGTAAAAATAAAATTCAAGTTAACAAGAAATCAAGTAGTAAGTTTAACCTATTTCGCTCTTTTAAAAATTAAGAAACACAGTTCTCAAACAAACAGAAGTCAAAAGAAAACCTGAAAAACAATGTTAGGAATACTACAATCACATTTAAAAGTATATGTATTAGTGATATAGTATTGAAGATTAAATTAAATACCATGTATTCAATAGAAATTTGCCTGAAAAAATCAGAAATCAATAAAAACAAAATGTCAAAATGTTCAGATCTGAATCTGAAGTTTCCAAATTAAATATTAGAAATAAGTTTCTAGAGGTAGCAGACAAATTTAGCATCAATTAATCCAATCCATAAATTCTAAAGGAATTCTTTGAAAATGGTAGTCAAACCAGCAGACCCCAACAGAAATTCCAAAAGAGTTAATTTACGACCAGAAGAGTTCAAAGGCCATAATTATCAAGGGAAAATGATATTTCTCATGAAAGCTAAGGAGATTCATATAAAAGTATAACTGAATTCAGACTCAATGAGTTGTATCATGAAAGTAAATAAAGATAAAAATAATATAAATAAAAATATGATACTCCTTTCATTGACAATGGGGATTAACTATAAAGAAAAGTCAAGAATTTGGTCAAATTGGGAAATTTATAGAATACCATTTTAAATGTAGTTTAATTTAAACTTTAGTAATGAAACTTTTCCTTGTTATAATTATGAATATGCCATTTTTATTAATATTTGATATATGCTTTAAAACAAAATTTATTAGCTAAATACACCTAGGAGAGGAGTTTCTCGTTCTGAATCAATCAAGAAAAAACTATTCAAACTAAATCTTGATTCATTGAAAACTCATGAAACTGAAACTTAAATGAATAGCGATCTGCTAACAACGAGTAGAGCTCATCATTATAAATCCATTAGTTCAACATTATTCTAAAGAAGAAACAGTAAATACCCAGCAATTTTGTAACAGTTATAATAATAATACTCAACAGCATTCAAAAGTAAAGAACTTGATAAAGCAATCGATGCAGTTGTAGATGTTATGATTTTACAAGTTGTTAGAGACAACATTTTAGGACTACTAAATACTTACATATTGGTGGCTGAAACCTATTTAAAATTTACATATTATTCTTCAGCTATTCAAACCTATACATAATTAGTAATTAAAATCATTATTTTAGTTGCATTTATGCGATATTTGTAATGATGTTGAAGAAGTCTAGAAATCATTTAGATTGAAGGTGTTACTTAAACTAAGTATCATTGCACATAACTTAAAAATGCACGAGACAGCAGTCAAAATATTAAAGAAATTACTGCAATATTCATGGCATTTTAAAGATAAGTATTTAGAGGTTGTGTGCTTTGATAAACTTGGGTAAGAAGCCTACTTGCAAGCAAATTTAGAGAAAGCATAGTTTTATCATTGCAGAGCTATTTGGGGGAGATCAGAGCCTGAAAATTCTAATCATTATCAGATATCAACTTAAAATATTGGGTAGTATCTAAAAAAACTCCCTAAAGGAATTCAACATATTGATTAGAATTTAGTAAGTAAAGCTACTTTTCTACCATTCACATTTATAAGTTAAACACAGAATCAATAAAATAATAACAATAATAATTCCTCTTAATATTATTGTGGTATTGAAGTTACTAATTACTATTTGAAAAACATGAATGTTATTAAACAGCCACATAGATTTCTATCTCATGTTACTCCAGAAGCATGTTTCTAAAAATTATTCATTACTTCCTAATTTGAGTTTGAGATTTCTACTCCCAGACAAGCGAAGTAGGATTCTCATTCCAATGATCTATTAAGAATCAATCCATAAGATTTGTTTATTTCAGTCTTATAAAATTCAAACGATAGAGAGGAAATCCTATACATGAATAAAGTGAAATAATAAAATAAAATGGGAGGATTTGTATGATATAATTCATATTTTAGATTCCTCCTTCATCATATCGAATTTAAAAGAAGGATTAACCTAAGATTGATAAAAAGTTATTGAAATAGCCATTAATCAAAATGATAAATGAAAGGTTAACCAGCCAACCAAATTTTACAGAAATCATAGAAGAAAGATACCGTGCTGCCAGAATGAATCATAGTAGAGTTCCTCTTAAGGATTAAGTGAGGATTTCTCATTTGAGTCCAAACAGAGATTTATTGAATTACGGAGAATGCTTATAGGCAACTGCTGACCCAGATTAAATGTTTATTTCTAATGTACTATTTTGAAGAGATGTTTGATTGTTTGATTTTTCAATTCTTTTTAACTCAAAACAATGATAAGTAAATTATTAGAGTTTCTTTATAAATTTAGAATAGATAGAAATCATAAACATCATTAATTATTATTTTTTCATAATTCGCTTAGTATCTATTAATATTATTTTAAAGGATAAGGTGTATTTTAATATATTTTACACAATCACTTATGTCATTTATTTTAAGAAAAATATATTAATTACTATTAAATATAATATTTTAATTGCATGAAAGGATTTCTGTAAAAATTGATGGGCTAGATAAAATAGGAGCCTAATTTAACCCAAGCTGGGCAATTCTTTAAGAAGGTGAGCGGGACTAGTAGTCAGAAATAGAATGCAAATAATCCTCATTTAATAGATAGAATTGATCAATTGAATAGAATAATAATTTAAGGGCAATAAAGGGATTTTTTGATGCTGAGAATTAGATAAGTAATCACTGAGGCATAATTGGGACATAACATATCTCCAAAACTCCAGGATGCTTGCGAGGTTGTTCATTATGCTTTATTAAATAATATTCCAGTTTTGGTATCGAAAGTAAAATTAGTGCATCCAGAGTTTGATCTATCAGATTAGGTTATATTATGATTAAATGAAATAGATCATAGTTGATGAGAAGGAATTTGAGAAACAAAAAGAGGAAGCGAATCCAGAGTTGAAATCAGAAATAGAGGTGGACACATTTGCAAATAAGGATTAGAGTGAATATTATGACAATTAAAGGCATAAATGGAAAGAGTAATAGAGAAAGAAGAGATGAATATAAAAATTGAAATTTTTTATTTATATGTAATATAATTATAGAAATATATTAAAGCACTTAAAATTGATCATCTATGCAATCCGCAATCAAAGAAAAAGTGAATTTCTAAGAGTATGTTGAATGGGCATTTAAAGAAAACACAAACACAATGAAAAATTAGGAAGAGAAAGATATATAATTCCATAGTTATCATGAGATAGATGGAGAAGAAATGGGTCAAGTCTTATGGTTGTTTAGAAAATGTGTATCAATAAGCAAAATCTAAAAACTTAAAAAATTGTTTCTAGACTATTTGTTTATATTGAATCACATTATTAATTTTCTATTAACAATAATACATTATAGCTAACCAACGAAAGAATAAATATCAAGATTAATGAAGTCTATAGGAATAATTTAAACTGAAGAAGAATTACAACTTGTTAAATTGGAAAATAATGAACTTTTATCAATAGTATATTAGAAGGAGGTAGTACAATCGCTTGAAAAAATCACTAAAGAAGATTTTAAAACATTATTCTAAATTATTTTTGATTTAAAAGATATTTCTACAGAGGAAATTAAAAAAATTTCTGAACTTGGAATGTTATTCGATTAAGAGAACAACAAATAGGAATACTAGCCTTCGAAATTAAAATAAGATTTTGGTATTATTATGGCAAATATAATTCAAATTGAAAAAATTGAAGTTGATTAAAAAACATTACTTTAGAGGAGTATAAAAATGGAACAGAGAAAAAAAGAAAAGGCTTATGCAAAAAAACTTTAAGATTTGTCAGAACATAAACAACAAATACTCAAATTTAGTAAATTGATTTATCATTAATAACCATAGAGAAAATTATTACTGTATGATGGAACGATGTATTTATATTTTATTAGTAATTTATAGAATAACTGCAAACATTTGGTACTCTAAAAAAGATTAATATTGCGTCCCTATATCACTTTAGATTGACACAAATGTGAATTATTTTAGCTTTCGTATTGAGTATTTGAATGATGAGGATGTATTAAGATAAGATCAGGTATTAACCTACAGAGGACCTGTGAATGATAATTTTGATCCAAATGTCAAAAAGACATAATATGATTTGGGAATCAAAGGAGAATTAAGTTTACAATAGAATAGTTACAGAGGATGTTTTAGTGATGGATTATTCGATGGTATTGGGAGTATATACTTTGGAAATAAATTATATTTTGACGGAGAATTTAAGGTAGGCATAAAAAATGGATTAGGAAGAGAATTATAAACTAATGATGGAGATTATTTGGAAGGGAATTATGAGAATGGTAAGAAAATTGGATTATTTTAACATATACAGTTACATGAAGGGAAAAGGTTTTTAAATCCATCCAAGCCACACATATGCTTTTAGAATGGAAAAGAGGTCAAATATTTGAACCAAGAATTTTAACTGTAGAAAAAGAGGTCAAATTTAAATCCAAACCGCTATCTCTTAAATTTTAGAGATTGTGGAATAAATAATTATTAACTTTAATCTTTGTAAACAGGAAGATGGCTTAATTCGAGTATCATAGATCTTGTGATTTCTCAAATTTAAACTCTTAGGCAGTTAATCTCTAACAGTTATATAAACGATTAAACCACTGTCTTTATCAATTGCAGCTAATCTTAAGACATTTTTGGTAGTCTAATAACAAAGAACGAAGAGATATAAACTGAGTAAAATTATATATATATATTAATATTAGAGTGTTTAAGGAAATAATTGATAATAGTAAGAAGAAACAGCCTTCAAGATTTGTTTTTTACTTAAATTTAGATCGAAGTCATTTTTTATCTGTGGTTTATGAAAATTAACATTTGTATTTGATAGATTCAATGAAAGATAAAAGGGCAGATTTATTTTATTAAATGGTTAAATTGTTGAGTCACTTTAATTTTACTGTTTATGGATTTTGGTAAGATCTTGAAGTAAGTTAATAATATAATTCATATGATTGCGGGATGTTTACGATTTATTACGTATCCTAAATAATAAAGAATATAGACTTAAGTATTCCGTAAATGATTGAAAAACAATGCTTTAATGTTTAATAATCAAGAATTGATTATGCAAGATATCTACTTGCTAACAGATTCTTCCAATTAGGAATTGAGCTCTTGGATTTGTGATTATCAATGTTCCAGCTTATTCAATTAATATCCTTTTTTTTCATATTATTCATCTACAAATATTATTATAATCTCTATAAATTTATATCTATTAATGAATAAACCCTAAGAAAGTATTCAGGAGTATATGAATAAGTATGTTAAGCCAATCTTTGATGGTCTACTTTGTTAGATCCTAAAAGTGAGACCAGATGATGTTATAGGTTGGAGCATTAATTGGCTTAAGAAATCATGTATGAAATGTGTGATTATTAGAATCACAAAGTTAGAAATAATATTAGTCATATCAAAGTGATGAAGAGGAGGGGTAACAAGTACCATTTTACTTAGTAGCAAAAATAATAAGTAAACCACAAAATCGAATGCTGGCTTCCATGAAGAATTTGACAAAAATGAAAAGTTTAAACAACATGTCATTGAAAAAACTAAAGATTAAATAGAGAAAATTAAAAAAAAAATTTTAAATTCTTTTCTATTTAAAGTCTTAGATGAACAAAATTTAGAAACTGTTATTTGTGCAATGGAAGTGAAGAAGTTTTAGTAACCATTCTAATTTATGATTATTTTTTAGAGCTGGAGACATTGTAATTCGCCAAGGAGATGATGGAAATGAATTATATGTAATTGATGAAGGTGAATTAGAATGCACAAAGAAATTTCCTAATAAACATTAAGAATAAAAACTGAAAACCTATTTGCCTGGTGAATGCTTTGGCGAACTTGCTCTATTGTATAATGCTCCTCGTGCTGCTACTATTAGGGCAACTAAGCCTGTAGTGGCTTTTACTTTAGATAGGCAAACTTTTGACTTATATGTGAAGGATGTAGCCATTAGAAAGAGAGAATAGATGGAATAAATAATAAATACAATCGATTTGTTAAAATCTTTAGATTCATATGAGAAATTACAGTTTTGCGATGTCTTGGAGGAGAAAAAATATAGCAAAGGAGAAAAAGTTATCAATTAAGTTTTTATTTACTAATATTTTAATTTAATAGGAAGAGTAAGGAGATACAATCTACCTAATTGCTGAAGGAGAACTAGAAGCTTATAAAGATGGGTACTAAGATAAAGTTTATTCATATCAATCAGGGGATTATTTTGGGGAGCTAGCCTTATTATAAAACAGTCCACGACAGGCTACTATTCAAGCAATAGTACATATACCTTTAATGATTTCTTTAGACTGATTGTACTCTCTACTATTGTGATTTTAAATCCTTTACTAGATTGATGGGTCCTTTGGAGTAGATTCTAAGAAGAAATGTTGCAAGGTATAAGCATTAACTTTAATGAATTTTTTATTGATCAAATTATGTACAATATCTATACTCTTATTTACTCAAAGTCTATCTTTCATAATATTATTTTTAATTATTTTAATAATAAAAAATTAATTCATTAATTGGAATTAACATGCATGCTAATAACACTTCCATCAATGATCACACACCTACATTCGCAGAAAATTAAGACTGTCTGAATGTGGATCAATGTTTAAATGGAATTTCTGATTTTCTGCTTTATACGTCAACACTCAAATTAGATTAAGTAAAATCTTTATATTTAAAAGAGTAATCATTTAACAAATTACTTTTTAGAAGATAAATAGGCATCGAAAAACTTTTCTAACTCGGTCAATGATATTGAATTTTCAGAATTAATTAGGTCGTGTAGGTTACATCGCTATTATAATAAACTAAATTAATTGAATAATTCTGTTATAGTAGAATCACATCATTAAAAAAAAGCATTATCCAGCAATCGTCAAAGTCAGCCTTAAGTTGTTATTAAGATTATGGGGACTTCTCCACCTAAATTTGAAAACAAAAAATACTCCTAAATTGAAAGCAGGTACTCCCCCAAAAATTTGAAATTCTACTTAAAATAGGAATAATAGAGTACTGATTCATAGATCTCATAGAGCAGACGAATATCTTAATCAGTACATCAATCAAGATCATCCTCTTTCACAATGAGTTCAATAACCTCCAATTTTAAGTTTTAATAAGTTTATCAAAATCAGAAGAGACAAAAACCTGGTCCCAAAAATTATTAATTTTGCTTACTATCTTAGAAACACTAGGAATTAACCAAATTAAAACAAAAAAATGAGCCAAACAAAATGTTAAATTTATCTTTAAATTCCTTATCCTCAAAGATTGAAAAGAATAAATGAATAATATTCCATTATGTTATTTAATTATAATTTCATCCTTATTCTTGTAACGCATCTTATTTTATTTTCTTCAATAATTCCGCTCTCTTTTTTAATTCTTACTTCTTCAACTCCAACTCCTAAGCTCTCTTTTGGTCAGCCACAAATTCAGTCTAAATATATATATATATTTGATGTATTTACCATATCCACTACTAGAGGACCTTTCTCCTATTGCTCAGGTTTTTATTCTTGTTGTTCACCCTAATTTAAGTATTACAATTGATTTACATCTTAATATTTCTTCAATTCATCTTGTCTCTCTTTAATTTTTTTCTACTTAATTAATTCTCTTTGTTATTACAATCTTTATTTTCTTTATTCCAATGTCTCTTAATCTTATTAATTTTTGATATTTTATTTAAAAGTTTCTTCCTACCCAATAAATCAAAAAATTACAATTTCCTTTAAATTTTCTTTTAATTGATTTCCTTAAGCAAGTAATGCTTCCCTTTCTTGAGCCAAAGACATCACTTCAACTTTTTATTAGACAATCTGTGGTAGGGGCTCTCGTTATTTAATTGGTGCAGGCTCTTATTTTTCTTATGGTTTTGTTTATGGTTGAACAATTTTGGATGGGACATCCTCATCAAAAATCAATATGGATTCAGGCTTTTAATCAGGTTAAGGTTGTGGTTATTGATTTTGGATTGGGGCCTAATGATTGACAACCTATGGTTACTACTATACTTGGCTTAGTAAAATTTCTTCCTCTAAATATGGTATTAGAATAGATACACTATTTTTCATATGCTATTTAACTTTATCTGATTGCTTCAATGAATTCCTCCTCTTCTTGAATTTAGATTTTGGCCTTCTCGTTTTCAACAGCTATCGACATTGCAACAGCATGTTCAATTTCCATTCTTTCTTTTTCAAGTTCAGCTTGCTTCACTTTGATTTCCATTTCAGGATTTTTTCCACCCTATCATAGAAGATTTCTGTATACATCTATTTTCTACAATTCCTTTAAGGCTTCATATTCCAATTCCTTGTTTCTTTTCAACATCAACTTTTTAAAGACTAAGAAATTCTCAACAATCAGCAATTACTCAAAATACTTTCTATGTTTTTTATTTTTCAATCCTATTTCAATTACCTTTCTCAATTATTCTTCATCCTCCACTCCTATGTCGACCATCAATTATTCAATCATCGCCTCAATCATACTTTTGAATTTCTAGCATACAATTTAAAATAACCTTATGTATCTCTTGATACACAATCTTATTCTCCTCCTCATCATCAAAAATAATGCAATTCTCATCCAAAAAGTCTGATATCGGATTCCTCCATATTGGTGAAGCCAAATACTACAAAATCAAATCATACATCCAAATCTAGGATTCATACATATTGAATTACATCATCAGTCACTTCGACTGGCTTCTATTTCACATTTTTCTATTAGGCCTGAGCTCTTTAAGGTTGCTGCTTCTGAGGTTCTTACTTTTTATCTTTAGATTACTTTGGACCCATCTATAAACTTGAATTTATTATTTAATTTAGAAATGAATAAAGCGCAATTTAGAAGATTGTTGTCTTTGATTCCAGATAGGCAACAATCTCCTATCAACACTAAATTATTTGAAATTGATTTAACTATTCAATAACCCAAGATCAAACCGAAATAACTGTTCATAGAAGAGCTCCCTTTATTTTTGAATCAACAACACATATAAATATTACCTTTCGTTCCGCAAAGAATGAAAACTGAAGTTTACAAAAAGATCTAACAAAACTTTAGTAAACCCTTTAAGAGTGAGGACGAAAGATATAATACAATTGATGTAGTTAGATCCAAATCTCGTAAACCAACGGAAGTTAGAAAGGTTTCTTGCACCAATTCGTACTAAATACAACAATAGCAAAATAAAATGAGAAAGCTAAGATACTCTTATGAATCAAGAAGAAGATAAAATAGCAATAATAAATTTAATTTTGAAGCTCACTTTTATATTTTTGTCAATGCTAATCCAAGTTTGAATATCAATAAAATTAGAGTCAACAAATAAATCATTTTCTAAAAGTTGGTAGACAAATATCGAATAGGAATAAGTTAAAAAATTATCAACTTTTTTGAAATCCCCTAATATATAGATTTTCAATTTTGGAAATCATTAACATAGAAACTATTAACCATCAATTAGGAATAAATAATCGTTTTCATATATCGTTTGATTCACAATCATAGACATCTATCATCAACTGATTTATTTCAATTAGGTTTAACTACTTAAAGCGAGGCTATTTAGAAAGATATTTAAACTATCTTAACATACATACAATAATCACTAAACACTGAAAGTATTGATAATGAGGAAATCGAGTATTTGAGAAAATCCTCAATTTTTAAAGATAATTTGACCCTAACTAATCTACTAACATGGACAGAAATATATTAAATCGATGTACTTTATATTATTTACGAATTTTAGCAATCAAAAACTATTAAATAAACTAAAGGATTAAACTATAGAAAATCAGTACCCATAGATTAATTTATTAGTATTTATATGACAGAGGATAAAGAAGACTCAATCAATTACAAATCAATAATATCCAAATATCCAAATAAATACGAATAAAACGAACCATTTTCTATAAATTTTCCAATCTTTCGACGCATTTTTTAGAATTAAAAAATTCATCTATGGAATGACATTTACTCTTTTTTTACAGGTTAAATTTGTTGAAGATTTGATTAAAATTATAAAATTACAGGTTTCAAAATTGCCATCAAAAAGATTAATATGAGCATCATTTTCAAATTAAATATCTGTTTTAAAGCAATATTGATAAGCGGAGCCATATTCAATTATTTTTAAACATAATTAATTCCTTAGACTAACTCGAAGATGAGGAGTATTCTTTTTGACAATTTGTTACTATATCGAAGTTTCTATTATCAATATTATCTTGATAATTATATGGGGATTACGTTCTTGTCAAATTATAAGTCTTAAATTCTAACTATTTTCATGAATCAAATTTGAATGCATTATAGTATATCATCTAATTCAATAATATAGCAAAATTTAAAATTTTGGTTCTGTTTTCACTAATATTTTGATCATTTTTGATTAATCCCTATAAAGGTTGATTTACATAATCAATATATATTTTATCAAAAGTGGAAGGTAAAAATTAAAATATTTTCATTAATATATAGATTGTTTCAAAAATTTCAATTTGTTTAGACATTAAAAATACTCTTAAATTCTTATCTAGGTAGTATTTATAAAATTCTCTTTTTATTCAATCTGAATTAAATATATTTAAAATATTCTTTATTGTTTTCACAAAAATTAAAAATATACTATTTTAATTTATTTTTAGAATCTATTCCAAGTTCATAATTAATATTTAGTAGCATTTTGTTATTCTTAAGTATTTTATTAAATCAAACATTTGAAATAAGTGTGATTAACATAATATATAAATTTTCTCCAGACAATAAATTCATATAATTAAATAAAAGATATTAAATTATGGGTGTTAGAGTGACATATAGAAGAAGAACATCATACAACACTAGATCTAATAAAATTAGAAAGGTTAAGACACCAGGTATGTTGATATGAATATCATATAGGTGGCAATGTTGTTGTTCAATATCCAAATAAGAAAACTAGTGCCTCAACATGTGCTGACTCAAATTTGAATGTTGTTCTTAATGGTCTTAAAAGAATTAGACCAACCAAGCTTAAGCAACTTGCAAGAAGACAAAGAACAGTTTCAAGACCATATGGCGGTGTTTTAAGTGCTGGTGCTTTAAAAAACAGAATAATTAGAGCATTTTTGGTTGAAGAAGTCAAAATTGTCAAATAAATCAAAAAATGATACAAATATGTTCTATGTTTTAGTACATTAAATACACAATACATGTTCTTTTTAGAAATCTGTATATATTTTTCAATTGTTCAAGAAAATAATAAGAAAAATTAGTGTGAATTGAAGTAAAAAATATGAAGTAATCATTAAAATCTATCTGTCTATGATTTCTCTAGAAAGCCAACGCAGTTTTCCTTTCTTTATTGCTAACATTATTATTCAATTCTTTGTTTCAATACTTTTTCATTTTTTTTTCTCAACCATTCCTCTTATTTTGAATGAAAGTCTTGAGATCTTTGTCTACTTATTTTTTTCTCATTTTTGGGAATTCTAATTTCCTTGACTGGTTATTATGATATTTTCCTCTATTTAATATTTAATGCATAATATTTACAGCGAATTTAGTAAAATTAATGTACTCAATATTTTCTAATTCTTTAGCTGGCTTTACGTTTTCTAATTGTTCCAAAGGTTATCTCAAAATTTCAGGTTCCTTATTAGGTTTTTGTATTTATTTCTGTTCTTACTCTTACAGTATTGGCTTTGGGGAATTCTAACGAACTCTACAATTTGGAGTTAAAGCTTTTGTTAAGCTTTCGACAATCTCTTTTGAAATTCTCTAAAGGCCAAGCATAGTACCCTTATGAGAATGCTGGCTATCTTTTATATTTAAGGAGATTTTACTTCTTGGACTATGAATATTAGATTTAGGATCTTTGCTCATGGCATTTCCAGATAAAACTAGATTGAATATTACATTATACTTCGTTTTGATCTATGTTCAGAACTAGCGTACACTTGTTTCCAATTCATTTATAGAAAGAGGTTATTAATAAGTATTAGATATAAATTATTAATAAAAGAAAAAAGACCTTTGCTTTCTTCTATTTTCATTAATTGATTGTGATTTTCTCATCCTTCTGATTGTCTTCCCGCTTATCTTCATCAATAAAGACTTGATGCTTGCTTTCTTCTTCGCACTTAAAATTCTTTTCCCTTGGCCTTCCCCTACTTCCATAATGCTTATCACTTGGTATTTAAGTCCCCGCAGGAGGTTACCCTTCATGTTTAATCCTTTATAAGATATGAATAGAATTACTTCAAATGAGTATACAATGCTGGATAGCTGTAGTAACCACGCCCACAACCACATTTATAGGGACGAGGAGTCTCATCATGTTTAGTGCATCTTCTAATTCTTTTCTTTGCACTTGGTGGGTCTTGTTACTAAGACATCTAATAATTATTAATTTATTTATATAAATTTCAATGATCATTTTTATATATTTATCATTTTACTATCATAATAGATTACTGTTCAAAATAAACCTAGATACATTGATGGTTCAAGTTCCCCAATGTAATTTTTCAAAGATTTTATCACTTTTTGATCAAAATGATATAAAAAATATTAATATTTTCAATATTTTAATTAAGATAGATGAAATTTGAAGAAAAAATAAGTTCTCTTGTCTAATATAGAATTTGGGACATATTTAAATTGCTATTGATATTGAAAATTACTATAAATGATTTATAAATTATCGGAAACAATGAAAGAGGAAATTTTTCATCATCAAATATTGGCTGTAAATGGGATTTTCATTTCTTTTAATAAAAATAAAACTGATCAAAATCATGTTAAATAATCTAATATTAATTAATTTATAGAAAAAGTAATCTATATTAGAATGAAATCTGCAGATTCAAATTATCGACACTATTTTTATGTAGAACACCTTATAAGTTAAGCTAATTAAATTTACTATTTTGTAAAGTAATGAAAATTTTGCCATTAATTTAAATTTAATATTGCATCATGATTTGATTATATTTATACCGCATAAGTATATTATCGAATTAAGTGCGCACTTAATCTGTTATAAGCTGTAAACCATATAATGATTAAATGTTTTAAATAAAATGACTGAAAGAACATAATGGATTTATAAAAGCAAGGAAGTTTTAAAACCAATTTTGGAAACTCAATTAATTGGAGTGTCGAGAGCTATTGTAGGATTACCAATGGATCATTTCTTCGATCGCTTTAAGACTTTGATCTAGGCTTCTTAAAATAACAATTTTAAACAAGTAAACCATTAAAAGCCACAAATAGCTATTTCTTGAAAGTTATTATCGGAATGGAATTTTCAGGGGAATATTCGCTGGTTTTTCATCATAAATAAGCATTTAATTATTTAAATAGTACTATAGGTAAATTCGTAAGCTAGTATTTGTAGATGGCCCATGATGATTTTGATTCCAAAGCTCTATATGCAAATTTTGCCTCAAAAGGTTAAAGAAAGTGCTCCAGCTTTACACAAAGGATTAGCAGGAATAACTATTGCTTTGTTTGAGTCTTTTGTAACTTGTCCTTTCGAGAGAGTTAAATGTCAAATGATGACTTAATAATAATCCAAGTCTGGTAAGAGATTCTAGATATATAACTTTAGTTCTCAAATATATGTGGGAACATGATGGAGGAATTCGAGGATTTACTAGAGATTTGTTTACTGGCATGGAAGTCATGATTCTAAAATAAGTTGTTTCATGGACTAATTATTTATATTGGGATCACAGGGTTAGATATTATTTCAAAGGGGAACCATCTCATAAATTGACAATGTAAGAGATTGTCCTATGTTCTATTGTAACAGCAATTCCAAATATCATCATTGTTCAACCGTTTGATATGATTAAAACATAATTTTAAATGGAAAATAATGATTAAATAAAAAATCTATCAATTTGGAATGCCTTTAAAAAAGTGTATGAAGAAAAGGGAGTACACGGGTTTTATGCTGGTTGGTAAATGAGATTCTGTTAATTCATGTTCTAAGCATTACTAACTACTCCTGTTATGGATTACTTGGAAAGATTACATGGTATCCCATAGAAATAGTAGTGAGAATTTATATCTAATTGATTTTATTTTGAAAGATAAATTCAAAATCTGTTTTTCCCAGTGATCATATTCCAAATATGTAAACTATTTTTCTAATTTATATAAAAAAATAAATTAAATGAATATTAGACAGTATATGTTCTAAAAGTTATTGATCATTCAATTAACTAATTATATCAAATAAAGAAATAGTGTGATTGGCTTTCAAACTGTTGAATTAAGAGAAAAAGGGGCTTATTTCATTAATATCAAATAAACATCAATACCAAATGCTATGATCAATTTAAATGAGAGGACAACTCTGGCAGACTTATAATTAAATCCATTGGAAATAGAAATAATAAAGAAAAAGTTTGAGGATAATTTGGAAGTAGAAAAGAGGAAAGAATGGAAAAATGAAAATACAGTAAATGAATTAGCAGGATTATATTGATGTTGAATTGCCATAATTGTAAATCATTAATCATCTGGATCTGCTTACTAGTCTTATCCATCCTAACCATCTTGACCTTCGACTTTTTCTGGCTCAGGGGGTTTTGGTGGATTTTTAGGATTTGGTTCAGGAAATTCTGATTTATCTTCTGGTTCCAATTATAAGTCATTGTTTTGGATGGGCACATAAGCTGCTTGAGTATCTTTGAATCCATAACCAACATAAAAAGATGCCCATTGATTTTGCTAAAAGAATTGTTGTTAATAATACATTGGCTACTGTAACAGCCCCACTCCAAGTGTAGTTTTTTAGTATGACAGTTGCATAGACATTGTTGCCAGAATTATCGTCCTTAGGATTATATATCATTTAATCTCCAACAGTTTTAATCAGCCAATTAGTTTAATAAAATGGTTCGAGTGGACGATCTTCAGCAATTCCCTTTAATCTGGTTGTTTCACTATCAAGATCTGGATTAGCCTCAAGCAAAGCATTTTTTGCTTCCTCAGATAATCCATCTGTGTATAATGTTATTCTTCCTTATTTTAATATTTGTGCAGGAACATGAACCCAACTGTCTGGATTTTACAATTCAGCAAATTCTGGGATTTTGAAATCTTCTACAAATTCCAATTCCTTAGCTAAATAGATTAATGTATTGATATACGATTGTCCTCTTTTTATTGATAAAGTCCTTTTGGTGCAATTAGATTAGCATGTAAAATCCTTACTAATTGTGCTTTTAAATAATGTTTTTCTTTTCCAGGGAAAGGAGGATAAGTTTTTAATTCTTAATTCAAATTTCCTGTGCAAACATATTTTATTTCTCTAGCCACCTTCACTTATTCTGGGGTTACCAATGGTAATTCATTCCAATCAGTCAATACTAAGGATTAAAGGGTTTATTACTATCGTTTGTGACCCAGAAAGTATAGTAATTTACACCATCTCCTCTAGGTTCAGCATTAGGGGCTAAATAATCGGTTGGTAATTTGGGGACTACTCCTCTGGCTACATAATAATCAGAATTTCTGCATAGTATCTTTCCAAAGAATGTCATTTCAGTTGCATTAGTTTCAATCTGAAAATAGATGTTGATATTTACACTTAATTACTTAATACTTAATTGGATCTAGTAGGTTTCTTCCTCTCCAAAACCATAACCTGCAGCTTCTAACAATCTAGCTGATGCAACAAAGTCTTATAAAATAGTAGGCATTTATGCAACTGTTTGACCCTACAATTTAATAGCCATTATACTTTCAGTAATTGTGAAACCCTCTTTACCCAATCCGCAAATTCAGGGATTTTGTCTTTCAGATTATTTACTTCACTTTCAGATGACAATTTTTTGAAAAGAAATCTATTTTTTTTTGTGAAATCCGATAAGAGTTCTATTGAGTTCATATCCTTGTGATTGCTTGACAAGACTTCATTAATGAAGCTGTTGATGTGATCGAAAAGGGTGACCCCATTGACATCCGTGTGAGATTTCAAAACCTACGATAATTTGCTCATTAATATATTTATAATAAAATTTCATATCAGTTATTTAAATCATCAAAATAGGAATGCTTCAAAGCTTCTTCTGCCGTGATTCTTGCATAAGGATCGTAAACAATCATCTTAGCAAGTAGATCTAATCCTAATGGACATAAATTTGTAATGTCCCTCCCCAAAGTGGCAGCTGGATTAGTAGGAGTTGGCCATCTTGGAAAAGTACTCTTAAAGTCAGGCAGAGTGCTGACTCCTGGCCAAGTAGACTCCTTTGGAGTTCCCATGATCTTAAATATCTTGAATAACTAATCAATCTCGGAATCTCCACAAAATAGTGGTCGTTTCTAAGCCATCTCAGCAAATATACAACCCAAAGACCAAATGTCCACTGGAGTTGAATATTGTCTCTATCCCAATAGAATTTCTGGGGCTCTGTACCATAATGTAATAACTTCGTGGGTGTAGGTTTTTAGAGGAAGGCCAAATGCTCTTGCCAATCCAAAATCTGCTATTTGAGTGTTTTGTTATTTTATGTCAACTAAAATATTCTAAGGCTTTAAGTCTCTATGAATAACTCTATTTTAATGGCAATAATTTAGAGCTTATAACATTTAGTGAATAAATTTCTTCACTTGAACTCTATCTAACTAAGGTACACTTTCCATGTACTTTTTTAAGTCTAAATCGACAAAGTCAAAGATTAAGTACAACCTTGACTCATCATAAACTACATCTTTCAGAGGAACAATGTTTGGATGTTAGACCTGATATTTCTATGCATTCTTACTTCCTTCAATAAAGAAATCTCTCTGATGGCAGTTGACGGAACTCCTTCATCTTCATGATCCATTCTAATTTTCTTCAATGCCACTATCTCTCCTGTCTGATTATCTTTGGCCTTATAAACTAATCCGTAGGTTCCTTCTCCTATTTTCTCTAATTTCTAATATCTCTCCTCACTTTAAACGAAATCCATAAATAACTGCAATTCGTTAATTTTAATAATTATATTCTGCCCAAAGCTTTTAGGTTTATTTATTATTATAATTCTTTCAACAATTTAAATCTTCTTAACACTCTAAATAATTTAGTATTATGATAAAAAATATAATAAATATGCTAAAATCATAGAACATGAATTTGGTTTTTAGTCGTAGTTGTTGTCACAATGCTCTTTCTTGTCTACATCTTTTTGGTAGCTTCGTTTTCAGCCTCTAACATAACAATTTTTTCATTAAGATCACTATTTAATCCATTCAACTTTTTAAATTTTTGCTTCATCTCTTCTAGTTAATGCTCTTAATCATAACTTGTTGATTCGATTCTTGTCTCCTATTCCTATAATTGTTAAAACAATTTCATTTTATCATTATAATCCTCATCCATTTACCTACAATAACAGATCTTTATACTTCAATTGTTATTCGAGTTTTTCTATTTCACTCTCCATTTCATCGCATTATTAATTAACCTCATTTTAAGTAATCTAACAATTCTCAGTCTTCTGATATCCATTCAGTTTTCTATTTTGTGTCTCTAAAGTTAATGCTACATATTTTCTCTCCAAATCCAAAGCTAATTAACGCCAAGGTTCTTCGATTGATTCAATGTAAACAATCTAAATAGGCCTCGGCACTAAATGCTTTTCCATAATATTGGGAACCTACTCATAATGTCTTATCAAAATATTTCCATTTAATGTGGTTCCTGTTTTAACAACAATTCCGTATTTCTCATCAGGGAGCATTTAATTTAACAAATAAAATTTATATATTTTATTAATAAATTTTAAAACCAATGCTAATTCATATTTATGTGAATTAAATTACAACTTAAATCAATGCACCTTAAAAATCAATTAATTATAATTATTATCCAAATTACTATTGTATATTTATTTTCTCTCTGGCTATTCTTTGTTTATTGAATAAAGCAAATGGTTTGTAAAACGAATACCGATTTTTAATTTACTACTCTCCTCAATCCCCAAATCGTTTATTAAAAATACGTAAGACAAACAATTGTATAGTTATAACCCCTAATACAATTTATAAAAAATTATGAATTACTGCGAAAAAACTCAAGGTTCAAGAAATAGCCTTTATAATAAAATCTTAGTATTTATTTATTTTGTTTATATAAAATCAGTTTCAGTTCGCTAACACTCATTATTATCTAGCTTATGATTTTTCTGGGTTATTCTACAGCAAAAATTGAGCAATAAATTCAATAGGATTAGGAGGTCTTAATAAATAGAAAAAACTAACCTCACTTTTGCTACTTCAGTCATTGCCTACAATAGGAGGGGTACCACAGTTTAATCTAAGTAGTTTCTAATTGGAAGGGCTTACAACTATTTCATTTTCTAGAAGAATAGATGTGATAAAGTACTTCCTCTTCACTTGACATGTATTTATATTTGAAATTTAATTAATATCATTTGTTTAATAAAGATAATACTATATATTACAATATAAGTATATACAAATAATGCGAAAAATGATCAAATCATCTCATTAATTAAGGCATATTATTGAAACCTAAAAATATAATCGCCATTGTTTTTTTTCACTATTATTCTTTTTATGGACTCTCATATTATTAAAATTATCCATATAGATAATTAATTTGGATTAATCTTCATTTGATAATTATTACATTAACATATCAGTTTTAATTTCATTAAATCTGATTGATATAGAATTTACATAAACTCATTATCTAAAACCTTATTTAATTTTTAGTTGAGTCAAAACTCTACTTATTAATTTAAATTTTCAGAGTATAATGAATTTTTCGTTTTGAATATTAATGAATTAAGTTGCTTGATTCCATTTTTAATTTAATCAATCATTTTTCAATGGTAAATTGATCATATCATATTTTGCAATCATAAAGAGTAGAATTTCGATAGAAAATTAATAATAGTTTTAGTTTAAGTGTAGCAGAGATACCTATGTATTATAAACCATATATTAGAATAAATATTTTATCATAATTAATTAAAGAACTTCATTCAATCTCTTAATGGGTATTGAACTTATTTATTTCTTCAATTAGTTCTTCTATTAGCCACGATTAGGATTCGGATATCGCTTTAATTGAGGAAAGCTATTCTTCTACTTCCACGGGATCATTCTGAATTATTTCTATAATATATTATTCATCTTCTCTTTTTGCTTTGTGCTTAGTTCTTTTTTATTTAATGCCCTTTTCAGAATGATTTTAGATATATTTTTCGCCAACCTCACTCACAATCACTTTACGAATTTTATTGCATAATTGTTCTATTGAGTTGGATGATTCTTCTTGATTTTAAGATGAAACCTTCCTTTTTGATAGCATTCTCTCTGATAATAATTACAAATTTAATAAATTACAATATATTATTAACTTAATCTAACATAATTAAAAGAAGAAAATAATTTATAATTAAATTGAATTACAGAAGAACAGAGCTCAATACATCTTTAACACTTTTGAATAAGAATTCAAAATATCAACAACAATTTATGAAAATTGAACATCTTCCCTGCAAATCTTAATTCCTTGACTTTCTGGGAATTTCAGCAATGCCTCATTCAATTCTTGTATTTTTTCGCTATTGAATATACATACTAATATATACATTAAGTAATTTTTTTTTTAGCATTTTTTTAAGTCAATCAATTACAAAATCTGCCAGAACACCATCTTAATTAAGTGAACTTACTTGTTCTCAATTAGATTTTTGGTTAACTCTTTGATATTGAGGTTTGATAATGCCTGATTAATCTCATTTAGATTAACTTATTCTTATCTCATCGATTATTGAGTTTATTAAAATATTTCTATCAAATAGAATCGATAAAAATATGTAAACTATCTACAATCTTTGGCACAACTCTTAATTCTTGAATGCAAGGTTTCCAAGTTCCTTACTTATAATTGTCTTTTTTCAATTTAGGACCCTAATTTAATCACGCAGTATTAGTTAACAATCACACAACTTAATATGTATACAAGCTGTGTCTCATGATATAGATAAATGGCTGTTTCTAATAGGGTTTCCGTATATTGATTTAGCAATTACTTCAAATATATGCTCATTTCATCTAATTTTAAAATCAAGACAGTATGACAATCATTAATTTAATTCATAGTAGATGATTTCTCTAATTGTTACTAAAATTCTTTTAATGAATTGTGTAAGCTCTTCTCAAAGAATAAATGAACCATCTCATTTGTAATATTTAGTAAATCCTCTTTACCAAAAATGACTTCTAGATTCTCTCTAAAGGTTTTGTCCATCAAAACTTATGTAACATGATTGGATTTTTATAATAGGTTGGCAATTGCTTCAATATTGTAAGTACTAACACTCATTACTAAACACGACACAAGAGGAATCTTATTTTAAGTGTAATTAACAAGGTTATCAATGATGTTTTTCTTTTGTTCTTCAGCTGTTGCATTCTTTTATATTTTCATATTCAATGCTGTAAGTACTGTGTCTAAGACGAAATACTCCACTTAAGAAAGACATTAGTTTTAGTACTTGTATAGCTCACTCAAAATGTAATCATACCTTTGCAATATAATGTTGATTCTCAGACTTACTGTGGATTGTGGTATGTTTTCATGGAGATCTATAAGTTTCCAATGAAAGAAAGCCTTTTTTGATTCTTGATCAGATCTTTCATAAATTACAAATTCATCAGAACAATGAGTTGTTTTCAATGTAAACCATATGTAAAAGTCTCTATCTTTTTGGAATTATGTTTATTCAAATACATCGTAAGCATCACTAACATCTAATAGCAACCAATAACATTGTTGCAATAAGATATCACAATATTGTTGTCTTGATTTCTCTTCCACATCATTTTAGTTGAGAATTTCTTGCTTTTGTAAATCGAAAAAACTTAAAAATTACTAAGCTATTTTTTAATCACTTGATATCAATCCAGATAGAATCTTTTATGCTTCATTAACCTTCCCACACCTGATCAATAAAAAGAGGATTCCACTTGGGAAAAATTGCCCTATTTAATACAATTCAGTAGTTTATAGATAAGGAAGGTAAAACTCTTTGAATTTTCGATTTAAATTCTATAAATCTAAGTGACCAATTTATTTAAGCATGTCATTTTCTAAATGCGTGACTGTATTTCGAATAATTTTCTCACTATATTTTAATTGAATTTGAGTACCATTTTTGTTATTAATTCAATGAATTTGATATATTCTTAAACTAATCTGCTAATAATCTCATCTCCACATTGTGAGTGGTCTCAAAAAGCTCCAAAGTTCTAAAAAGTTTCTCATATATTGATAAATCATTCTTATTTTTGATAAAATTCAAGAGTGCTTAATATAAATGGTTTTCGGTAAACAATTTTGACAAAATTACTTCACTATATTAATTTAGTTAAATTTCATGTGACACTAATTTTTCAGTTCTATTTGAAGAAGTGAGGATGTCTGCTAATTTCTCCTTTTGTCTTGTCATAGTCTTGAGCTCTGTCTTGTGAAAGGAATTGTAAATCTAATTTGTTTATTCGAAGTATTTTACTTATTTATTTTTTTAGAACTCTTGCTAAATAGATGAAAAATTTCTGAAATTATCAATTTATATGCTTGAATGATATTACTCCTATTTTTTTTTCATTTCTTGGTTAATTCTATCTCCTAATCTTTTAATGTGGTCACTCAGATAATCGACATTGCTTTAATTTAGATGAGATTTTTTGAAGAGGGAATCCACCTTTAATCCTATATCCTCAATCATAAAGTCTAACTAGAGTTAATAAATTACTTTAGGTTTTTTTAAGCTTAATAGGTAAATTAAAAATGTTTGAGATTCTTTTTCTAAGATGATCTGTCTATTATGCAATTATGGCTAGATCTTAATCCTACGCTTATTTGTTTTACTATGTCTGTTGTTTATTTTGAGCAATTTATTTCAAAACTTAAGAAGTAGGCATATTAAAATTTTAAGTGCCACCAATTCCCGCATTCAACCCATTACTATTTATTTGCATATTTTATTTTTAATTAATCAAATAATTTATTCACATATTTTATTTTCTAGACCAATGTATGATTATAATCCCTTCATTTATGAATACTAATTGAAAAGGATTCAAAATTTAATTGAGCATCCATATCCTCTTTATAATATTGAATGTGTCCTTTCATATTTTAATACATTAATATAATTGTTTGTTTCTTCCATTTATATTATCCTAACGATTTAATTAAGCATGGAGAAAGGAGAGATAAAATTAAAAAACTTATTAAATGTGCGAAGTAATAATAAAATGAAAATTCCAATTTTTTGGGTATTTTATGCTATGAAGATTATCGGAAGATTTTTGCTAATAAATAGTATCTCAGTCATTAAGAAATGTATTTGAAGGGTGTGTTTAATGATTTTTATATAATCAGCATCAAATATATGCGATGATTCCATTAATTTCTTTACAGTTTTTCACTTTAGCTTTTATTCTCAATCTAAGACATGATGAAATCAAAATTTACTTTTCAGAGGAACTGACATCCTTTCCTTGGACTGTGACTTTGCAAAATTCTCCTGATTCACTCAATTTTTCTGGGTTTGCACAAACATTTGGGATTTTAGTTTCTTTTGAATCAGGATACTCAGCATTGATTCGTGGATCTTTTTATTAGACAAAGTATCTGACTCTTGAAAATTAGAATACCTATCTAATTGTCTTAACAATATTCATAATTAAATTAATACAAAATTTTGTAATAATTCCTTAGTTGAGTTAATTACATTTATTAACAAAAATGATTGCAATTGTTTAGACCCCAAGTACTGTACCATCAACTAGATAAAGTAAAACAGTAACTTATTAATTTCACCTTGATTAGCCTGGAGAATACGATCACTTCAGAAGAATCTTAAAAACTAGATAGAGATTCCCATCAAGTGCAGATTGCAAATTCAGGAAATCTGTAAGCAGTCCATTAAAAAAATAAAGTGCCAATCAACCTACAGAGAAGCGAGTCCTTCTTACTTTGTAAGATAGACCCAAAACTTAAGCAGATTTACCAGAGAGACCTCCTGAATATTACAATTTGTTCAACCTACCATATAAAAACTACAAATATTAAAAGCCTCCTGGATAAATCAATGTAGCAGAGTACCTTGAGGGAACATATAAATTAGGGAAAACCATAGGGATATGGGATAAAAATACACTGCACAAGAAATTAAATGTGAACAAGTATTCGATGATTAAATGAAATTAGCCTTTAGATTAAAAGAAGCAATTACACATCTGATCATCTTATAAAGGCAAGAAAGCCATAAGGTCCATCGAGTTGTTTGGAAACTATTTACATAGCTAAATTGCAATTAGATAATGAACAAACCTAAGAAGGGTTGGTTAAGATGAAGGCAATGGAAGACACTCTAAAATAGGATATTCAAAGGTATCTTGTTGAAGGATCATCGACTCAGCTTTAAATAAAATTTCCATCATAATCATACATTTTGAATAGATGGACAAGACAATCAATTGGTTAAGAGCCACCTCAATGCTCAAAATGTGAATTGATTCCTAAATTCTCTTTTCAAAAAAACCAAGTTAACAATAGTGTTGAATCACTGAGGAGATCTATGATATAATTTCAAGCTCAGGAGACTTCTTCATAAATTACAGAATTGCCACAACAAATGAAATTTTATAAATTTGAGTAAGGCTTTACTATTGATAGTGCAGTCCAAAAATTAACTCATTTTGGCATCTCTACAAAACTAAAGGAATGACTATTGAATCTTTAAAGGAGGGCTTTTAGATCTTAAAGAAGCCAATCATAGGTGATAGACTATTATTAAGTTTTGACTTAACTCCTATAAATAATGAGGAAAGGGTATCATACAAATAATTCTGCTATTTTGTGAGAGTGTTCATTTACAAGAAGGCCAGTTTAAAGGAGATGATAGACAGTGTACTTAATGTAGGTGAATTATTTAATAATAATAGTTTTATGATCCAGAGAGATAATATAGAGTTACAAACAGAGAGTTTATTAATATCAATAGGATACTTTGTGAATAGTTTATGGAGAAACATCCAACAGTGAAACCAATCTATCAAGAGTTAATCTAAAATTTTAAACTGTCGAAAGTAATTAATGATGAAAATGACGCTTATTTTGATTAAAAAGCATTTAAGCATGTCTTCATTTCGAATTAGATGCATATTTAAGATATTATAGAATTGATTAGTGATGAGTGATTAATTAATAAATAAATTAAATTTTATAAACATGATGAAAGTATTATTCAACAATATTGTAGATAGAAGAAGTGAAATCGACAACCAAAACCTAGAGAATTGCACATCACAGTCACATTAAGGGATTGGGTTTGTAAGAAGATGGAACTGCTTTAGAAAATGCATCTGGCATGGTTGGATAGTAAATAGCAAGAGAGGTAATTAAAGCAAATTATTTATGAAAAGGCAGCAGGAATATTTGTTGATTTGGTTAAATCCAAAAAACTTGCAGGAAGAGCATTACTAATGGCAGGACCACCAGGAACTGGAAAAACCGCCATAGCTTTGGCAGTGGCCTAAGAATTGGGATCTAAAGTACCATTTTATCCAATGGTTGGGTCTGAAGTGTATTCGGCTGAAGTTAAAAAGACAGAGGTGCTTATGGAGAATTTTAGAAGGGCTATTGGACTAAGAATTAAGGAAACCAAGGAAGTTTGGGAAGGAGAAGTTATTGAATTAAAAACAGAAGAAAAGGATGATCAAACAGGGTATGGATATATTCAATAAATTAGATATGGAAAAGTAGTATCAGCAGTAGTAATTACATTGAAAACATCTAAAGGATCTAAAACATTAAAGTTAGATCCATCCATTCATGAAAATTTGACTAGAGAGAAAGTTACAATTGGCGATGTCATTTATATTGAAGCTAATAGTGGAAATGTCAAAAGAGTAGGAAGATGCGATGTTTACAATAGCGAATATGATTTGGAAGCAGAAGAATATGTTCCATTGCCCAAGGGTGATGTTCATAAAAAGAAGGAGATTGTCCAAGATGTCACTTTACATGATTTGGATGTGGCTAATGCAAAACCTCAAGGAGGTCATGATTTCGTTTCTCTGATGAATTAATTGAATAAAAAGAAGAAAACTGATATCACAGACAAATTGAGAGGTGAAATCAATAAAGTAGTCAGCAAATACATTGACTAAGGTGTTGCAGAATTAGTTCCAGGAGTGTTATTTATTGATGAATGCCACATGCTGGATATAGAAGCATTTACTTTCTTGAATAGAGCCTTAGAATCTACACTAGCTCCTATCGTTATTTTAGCTACTAATAGAGGTTACTCTTAAATTAGAGGGACTGATATCAATAGTCCTCATGGATTACCAGTTGATCTCTTGGACAGGTATTGAAATACTCATTATACTAAGATTATTGATCATTAGAACTACTCCATATAACTTAGAAGACATCATTAAAATATTAGCAATCAGAGCCTAAACTGAGGGACTTAAGATAACAGAAGAAGCATTATAAGAGTTGAGTAGTATTGGTAATCAATCATCATTAAGGTATTCAATAAGTATATTAACTTAGATTTGCTATTCTTCTGCTAACACCTGCGAATATATTAGCTCAAACTTCAGGCAGGGAAGAGATTGCCATTTAGGATATATAGGAAGTTCATGAACTTTTTTTACATGCAAAATAAAGTGCTAAAGTATTAGAATAATAAGCGGATAAATATATTAGTTGAGTTTTATGTTGAAAATTGTATAAGTAATTTGTATATAATACGAATTCCTCTTTTATAAACCGATTGTTCTTTATTATATTTTAAAATCAGGAGATATAACTTAAATAAATTATTATTCATTTTATGAATACTGCCAAATTTCACAATCGAAGTTTGTCTTACTCTAAATTAAAAAGTACCAATAGAATTATTAATGGATAATTCAGCGAACCTAATCAATTAAGTTCCAGCATTTTGTAATAAACTCATGAGCAACATTCATTCCCAAAAGCCAAAAGATTTCCATCAGTTTCAAGAGAATCAACACCTAAAATGCTGTTGTTAAGTGATACAAAAACTAAAAGGTCCACATCCTTTGGATTTGGTACAAAACTCATCAAACCTTTGGACTTGGAAAGGAGAGATCGATTAAATCCTGCTCCTGGAGACTATTAAGTAAAGGTTTTATAAAGTACAAAATCGTTTTCCTTTGGAAATAAACTAGCTAAAATTGATCGCTAAGAAGTGCCTGGTCCAGGATAATATCAATTTAAACTATTATCAAAAACTCCTTAATTTAGCATATATGGAAAGATAATGTATCATTATATAAATATGCTTAGGGATAAACAGGTATTGCCCAAGTAATAGGCATCCTTTGTTACCTATAATCCAAAAGAGGCTTTGACTTTGAATTAACGATTTAATAAGATATCCTTTGGAATAGGAGAGAGACCAAAACAAACCTTTAATGAATAAATTCCTGGACCAGGATCCTATCAATGCAAATCCTTATTCGATTTGATTTGCGAAAGGAGAAAATAAAAAGGTTCTCCTTGAGACCTCACTAATTTTGATTCTTATAGTTTTCCCTTAAAAAATTTCATACCCAAACATGTATATATAATTCAGAAATATTTAATTAAACCATTCTATTCAATCAGGCTCAAGTACTCGCTTTTGATATTCACTCCTATTTATCCTATTGCACTCTAGTTTCCATTATAAAGCACGCAATTATCAAAGACTAATAACATGTCTGTATGAAATTCTCTAAAGTTTTTATATGCATTCACATTTAATTTATTCTATTTATTTGTCATATAGATTTACTTTTATAGTTCCAAAATCCATTGGTTTTTTTACGATTTCAAAGTAATCGGTAATATGAAATTCCTTTTGATCAACTGGTTTATGGAAAAAGTAGGCTCCTTTTGCTTTCCAAATTAATGCTGTTAATTCATAAATACCAAATAATACCTATTATTTTTTTGGCCTACTTTTCCCAAGTTTCGTCTTCCTTACATTAATTTATCATATTTTCATCAATAAAATCATCGGCATTTAAAATAAGGGATGCAATCTCAGGATATTAAATTGAAAATTGTTAAAAGTCATCATTTGTTAATTCTCTTTGTTGTCCTTTGTCATCAGTATGCAATATTTTATATTGCTATTTTGGAACTTCCTTCTACTTTTTCTTATTCTATTTTTATTCCCCTCCTTTAACACTCTCCTCCTTTTTCTAATGAACATCTTCCTTTTGCTTTTGCATACTAGCAGTAATCAAATCAATAACTTCTTTTTTCTGGGATTGTTTAGCAAAATACAGCGCTGTTTTCTTTTTATTATCTTAATGGTTAACAGGACATCCCGCCTAAATTAAATACCCATATTTTTTACTTCTATCAATAATTTACAAGCTTCATAATGCCCTTTGCTTGCTGCATAAAATAAGGCTGTCTAACATGATAAAGTATCAAGATGTGCTACATCACTGCCCAATTTAATAAATCTAAATGGTTGATTGCAATGATTACCTTGAAATAATGTCAATTCTATTTTCTCTTGAAGCATAGAATAATGGAGTTTAACCATATGAATCAGTATCAGAAATGTTGATTCCTTATGATACTAAATAATCAAATAGTTTAGTCCTTCCATCTCTGCAAATATAAAAAAGGATGGATTATTTTAGGTTGTCTTTATAGTGTATGTTTGCTCCTAATTCGCATAAGTACTTCAATAATTGCAATGAAACATCTTCATCTGAACCTATTATTGCAATGAATGTTGAAATTTATCGAGTCTATGGATCAATTCGATTCACTAGATCAATGTCCTTTTGATACGTAGCTAAGTTAAATCAAATCAATGCGATACTTAATATTTGCCTAACCTTTTCTATGTTCTAAAAATGCAAGGCTTAGCGAAATTCTGCATATATTGCATAAATTTATTCGGATGTGAGCTTCTACATTGGGATTTCTTATTCTATGGGTTAGAGCAATTATTGAAACTAATTAATGTCTATTTAGTTAATGCTGATACCTATTTCGGAGGTGATCTATGAAACAATTGAATTAATCTATGACTGAGTATAATTTAAACTTTGTAAAATAGTAACTACTTGATCCGAATTTACCCTCTCGTTTATAGCAGCCATTTTAAATCTGGTGAGGGCCGTTTGGAGGAAATTTTAATGATTCATATTCAATAAATTTAATAATGAATGAAATTCCTCCAATAATTAACTTATATTATTGAATTTTATATGTTAGTAATGTTGTATAATTTTATTTGATAAATTATTTTTATATTTGAATTAAGTTCAATTGAATTAAAGAATATCAAATATATATTTATTTTCCAATAAATCAAACATATCAATGTTTTTTTGCATATTTCAATGTGAATTCTCTAGCTTTCATTAGTGCTTGGGCTTCATTTGCTTTCCATAAATTGGCTGCTTCATTGTTTAATGGATCATCCTTAAGTTATAGAAAATTAAATTACAGGATTAGGTGAGCTCAGTAACACCTAAATTGATAGCAAAATTGATCTTATTTATAATGCAGGAGACCACTTGTCTTTTAACACATCCAAACAAATTCTTCCTAAATTATCAATATTTGGATGATAGATCTTTGTATTGAATACACATTTTGGTGGGGACTAACGATGTAAGTAATAAACGTACCATAGGATAATCATCTGGTAATAACAATTCAACATCAAAAACTCCGCCTTCATATGGAGTATTGGGAGGCCCTGAAATTATAACAAAAAAATGTTTGAAATTTGCAGGATTAGGAGTCACTTCAATACCTTAAACCTTGTCTTTTGCTAAGTTTTATGTCTCTTTTATGATTCTTGGAGTTGGCTATGCCATTATTTATATTAGAAATTAGATATAAAATTTTAATTTTTTAATGATAATTATTCTGATTGATAACATTTCTATATCAATATTCTTACATATCAAATGGAAGAGAAATATTAACAACTTGATTTCTATCTATGCAAAATATAGTAGTATGATTTTAACTTCATTCATCGAATTTCTAAAGTCTATGGAATGTCAAGAATTTTAGATTTTTGAAGGTTAATCAAAATATAAAATTTTATCAGACTAAAATCAAAATCTAGGAAGCACTTAATTTCTAAGAAAATTTTGATTTCTTACTTTAGTATTCTTTTTAACATTAATTAGTTTATAGTTTACTTTATTTAAATGAAAGTTAATATTTTCTAAAAATAAAAAGTTCTTTTGAAAAAACTGAATGTTTATTTATAATTGTTGGATATCAAATTTAAATAAGAAATAAATTTATTTATACATACATATGTTTAATAGTTCACCTTTAAGTTAAAAAGCTTAGTACAGTATCGCACAATCTAAGATAACCCAAGATGTGAGTTCTAAAGGTTAGCAACTCTCAGCTTTTCCCAATTAATCGCAATAAACCTTGTCATAATAATAGGTACAGTAGTTTTTTTACTAGGTAAAATAGACTTAAACTTTGTAAGTTTAAAGTACAGCTTCTTTACAAGGGATAGTTGCTAAGTAGTCATTCCAATCAATCAGATCAGTGAGAATTAATCAAGTGTCGATTAAATCAGCCGATCATTAAGTACTAATCCATTCGATATTTTTAGGTGGAATCCCAAGCCTATGTGGGCAATATTATTGCACCTCCACCACAAGAGTCTTAGCAGCAATCCCCTTAGATTAGAGTGGAGGGTTCAAAGTCATTAAGAAATTACGTCACCTCTTCTCCTCAAGCCCCTTTATCATATAAATCTAATAATAGTTTTCCTCTTTCAAAACCTTCCTTCGTTGAGTACTACCCTCCAGTATATGTGCCTCACGTAGAGCCTATATATACCCAAACAATAATCACTAATCCGATTCAAGTGGTTGACTTAATCAAGTTTGAAGAAATTTGGAGTAGAAGAATAAAAGTACTCGAACAAATGTTAGAGTAAAAAAGTTAAGTGAATGTTGAAACTTAAAACTATGAGTTAAGAGCATCATATAGCGATGATAGACAGACCATTACCGACCTATAAACTGAACTCTTTAGTGTGAAAACTTAATTAGAAGATAGAGAGGCAGTAATTACTTTACTGAAACAACAATTATAAAATGCAACAGAATAAGCTGAGTTTGCAAACAGTATATTTAGAAATATAAATTTAGAGTAACACAGGAGTACTTCCAATATTTTGACCTAAGAAATGCAGATTAAAATTACAACTCTACAATAAACCATTGATAAATTATAATTAAATTTGACATCAGTTTAAGAAATGGTAGAGAAATATAAATAAGAAAACTATTCATTACAATGTGAACTCAAAAAGCAACTTGCAACATTGAATGAAAAAGAGGAAATCATAATTAAATTAAGATAATAATTAAAATTGACTCTTGATTAGTATAATTTAGATGCATGTAATTATTTAATTTATTTTAGAATCGAACAAGAATGTTTCTTAATAAAAAATATCTGAGTTATAAATTGAGGTGACTTCCCTTGAGCAAACCATAGCAAATTTACAATCAAATTTGAATTCAAAAGATAATTAGCTTGAGAGATTGAGAATTGAAATCAACCAACTTTAAATTGAAAAATAACAAATCCATGACTTATGCATTCAGAAGGATGGTACAATATCTAATTTGTAAACTGAATTAAATGAACTCTATTAATAAGTAGATTAAATGAGTGAAGAAATCACAACAACTTAGTCTATCAAAACCTTTGAAGAAGAAGCTAAAATGTGGAAATAAAAGTTTAAGGAATTAAATGATACTTATCATGCTTGCTAAGAAAAATTAATGGTTAGAGATGCAGAATATGAATCATTAATTAAATAACAAAGTCAATAAAAAATAGTTACTTTAAGCACAGTGATAAAGTAAAATAGTTCGCGATCTGTTTTAAATGTAATCAATTTCTTATATTAAAGAATTCTGACTATAGATCAAGCAGTATGATATAGAATGAGGTTGATAAAACTTAAACCATCCAAAAATCCCTTAGGATGTGAGATTTATTCGTGTTAAACATAGATGTTATATTTTATAAATTGTATAGAAAAAATCATTTTTTATTCTTCTTTGTTGATGCAAAATCTATTGAAATAATGTAATTTATTACTTTATCCCTCAACATCCTTTAAAGCTTGTTTAGCCATGTCATGAAATTCAGTGTAGTTTAGAAACTTTTAAAATTCCTGCCCCTCTTCATTTCCCTAAGAAGGTAACACTGACGATTAATTTAATTATTATTTAGATTTGAATTCTTTTGTGGGTATTTCTTCCAATAGTAATCCAGTTATAAATTTATTTTAATTTAATCCATCTCTTCTAATTTTGTTGGATTTATATAAGACCAACATGTTTATATAGCCTTCCATTTCAGCTAATAATATAATCAAGAAATTCACCTAAATACTGATCAATATTGGATTCATTTAATTAAAATCCACCTTAAAATGTATACACTCTAGTATGATCTTGGTTAAATTTGGTTTTAATCATTTTATTTAAAATACTCTCAATGATTGGTTAGATCTATGATAATTTATTACTAAATTCGTTAATCTCATTTTATCTATGAATGATATTGGACAGTTTTACTTTTAATCAATAATCCTTTAGATTTATTTTCTCTTTCTTTCACCGTCTGGAGTTGCTGATAAAATTCTCTCTCTCTCTTTATTTTCTTTTTTCTATATTTCACATTTTTCCTTTAGTTCTAAATTATTATCTTCTAGAGCATCTATTTCTTAATTTAGTACATCAACATATGTCCATAATGAATAGTTCTACTCTTCGCTTTTTATAAAGTTATTTTTGATTTCTTCAATATCAGTTAATCCAGTGGCTTCTTTAATCTAATTAAATGCTTCATCTATAATTCTCATATTTCTTTAATATGTATCAATCATTTTAACTTTTTCTTTGTTATTGGCAATAATTCTTTATAATCTTCTTTTTAATAATGTTCCAGTATCGAAAGTAGAATAATTGGTGGCCTTGAGTCTATTGTTTTTTGATATTTTGTCTTTTTCATTTTATTTTTCTTATTTCTCTTTTAATTCAGCCTTTAGTTTATCGAATTTTTCTTAAAATTCACTTTTATCAATTTCATTCTTGGTTTTCAAATCGAACATTTGTTATTAGGTAATTTCTAACAATATTTCTAATTATTACAAGCATCATGAACCTTTCTTTGAGCCTGTGATTATGTTGATATCAATCTACTATGGATTTGCTCATGATTCTACTCAATTTCCTTCATAGCTTGCAACAATTAATTGCGTTCTTTTCTGATTATATCAATATTCGATTTCATAATTTCAATGTTCGCAACAGACTTACATAATTTTTTGTCGAACTATATTGGATTATGGAATTACTTAATCAATTTAAAATTGTAGACTTTTTGATTCTGCCTGATCTTTGTTCAAAACCTTTTTAATGGAATCCATTTTCAATTTTTTGACTGATTGCACCTTATTTTTAACTTCTTCCTGTAACTATCTATGTTATTGTTCTAAATTAAAGAGCTTTCTAAAATAATATATCTGTTAAATGAAACCTTCTTTCAATTTCCACTTTTCTGGTGTAATTGTCTATCTCTCTTTATAATGTAATAATGATTGGCTCATTTAACTATCCTTGTTTACCATGGGAAAAGGATCGGTTTGATACTTTGCTTGAACGAGGCATATGTTTTAATAAATAATTGAAAAATTATATATTATATTTTTGAACTTGAGATTGTTAAGATATCATTATTATAGTTTAAATATTAATGATGATTAAGTATAATTCGCAACAACATTAAAATCATAAATAGAAAAAATAATATTTATTTCTTGACCCTTATTTATATAGACGCTAGAAAATCTTACTTCTCATTTCATTATGGATTATAACCACATATGTATGTTCAAAAATAAATCTATAAGATTATCAGAATGGCAGATTTAAGATTTTATTAAATATATTTATTTACAATGAACTCTTTACTAAAAGCAGAATAACCATATTTGGATCAGCAACGCAAATCTACAATCAGTCCAGAGATACGAAATAATATCTAAAGCACTCTCCATAGAAGGATAAATCATTCTTAAGTGGATTTAATAACTCCTATTACAGTTAAACAAAATCACAAAAAGTAGGCTATAACGTAAGGTTTGCAATAATTGTTAAAATCAAGTCCATATTCAAAATTAGTTCAATAAAAATCTTAATAATAACTCTAAATCTTAGACAGCTTCTCTTAACAATATTTGAACGGATATGCTCCCACACCCAATTAATTATCATCGCAAATACTTTTCAAGCCAGACATCCGCACTCCTTCCTTAAATTCTACTACGTCAAGCAGCATTAAGCCAAGGATCAGAAACAACACAAAAGAGCTAATTCAAAAGAAATCATTTGATTCTATTAATGCTACTTCCAACAGAGAAAAAGAGAGATAAACGATTTCCCAATTATAAAATATCATTCAAAGATCCTCAATAATATTAAAATCCTACAAGGATGAATTGCAAAGGCATATAAATGAAAAGTAGGACTTAATCAAACAAATTTAATTATTAGAACAAATTAGAATTAAGCAATGATTATAATATTTAATACTTATATATTCGAAGCAAGTTTATCAGGCAACATTGCAATACTCGTTGAATAGACTCAAGAACCCTAAGTATTGATTTTGTACTCGCATATTAATGTGTTTCATTTGTATTGATACTTCTATTTCTCTCATTATTAAATGAATATCCTTTTTTTTAGTGAATTTCAAACTTAACTCTTGTTTTTCCTTTTCTTATGAATTTGAGCATATGTTTTATTATGACTTCAATAATTTGATTGTTATGGTGAAGTTACAAGTGGATCTTAAATTACACTGACTTATACAATTTATATTCTGAATATAAAATAAAATTAAGGTAAATAAAAATTAATAATTTAATATCTAATGTTGAATTAATAAAGACTTGATCAATAAGAGACTTTAAGAAATGAGTATTAATAGACAAGACCAATTTCTTAGTAGTTTGTATACACAAGTGGAGTATAACAAGTAAAATTAACTAATTAATTATGATAGGTTCCTTTTGTTGGTCAATAAGTATAGCAAGAGGAATTTGTATTTGACGGAAGAAATTAAGCATTTAATCAATAAGGAGTTCAATTTCCTAATAACTTTGTAACAGCATAAGTCACAAACTATCCCACCATTAATGTAATATTAATCTATTAAAATGTTAGCCTTGCAATCCTTGTTAGGCATCACCATTACATATGCAAATCGTAGTTGTAAACAGAGAAGAAATAGAGGCTCCCTGGAGATTGGAGTGCGAGTATCTTCAATCAGTTATCACTGAACTTGAAGCCAGATAATTAGAAACAAAAATCGTTGAAAAAGTAATTGAAAAGGAGAAGATTGTTAAGGATACTGAATCCATTTCCTAATTAGAGAATGAATTGAATAGATTAAGATTAAGTAATTAACAGGAAGTAAGCGATTTGAGAAGATAAATTTCTGAATTGCAGATGTAAAATGCAAATTTGAATAATTAATTAAAATAAAAGGATTAAGAACTATTACTCATTAAGACAAGTTCAAGTTCTAGCGAATCAAGATATAAGCAATTGGAAGCTGAGTTGTAAAATTGGAAGAATCAATGCAGAAGCAAAGATTAAGAATTGGCTATGTTAAGAGATTAAGTCTAGGACTTATAAGATGCAAATAGTAAATTACAAATGGAATTGAGTTCACTGAGGTTGATCATCCAATAAAAGGATAATGAATTAGAAAAATATAGAGTTACATCACTTGAATTGAGATCAGCAGCCAATGAGAGTAGAGATGCTTAATCAAGAATTAGGGAATTGGAAATGGAAGTTAATAATTTGAAGGGTTTATTGTATTAGAGAACTACTGAATGTGAAGACTTAAGAAATCAATTAGCACTTAATGACAAAGAATATAGTTCTAAACTTAATTAATACAGATTCTAAATTAGTGATTTGGAGTAAGAAATTTTGAGATTGAAAACTGAAATTGAAAAATTAAGATAATTGTTAGCCAATAAGGATCATGAAATTGATGATTTGCATATGAGAATCTAATATTTGGAAGAATAAGGAACTACCGTTGTCTAAGAAAAGGTCACTTTCTTAAGTTCAGAAATTGAAGTCTGGAAATAGAAGTTCATCAAAATTAATCATGATTATAATGAATGTTAAGAACAATTGATGATGGCATAAGCAGAATTAGAGGCTCTTCAGAAGTAATAAAAGAAGGTATGATTCAATATTTATAGTAATTAGGAAGTAGTTGTGGAAAAGAGAACTGTAACAAGATCAACAGTTGGTAGCAGCAGTATTCAAAAATAATATTGATAATGAATCATACAATATATAATAATAAATAAATAACAACATCTTGTCATTCTCTATCCAAATATATATATATACATTTAAAATTCTGGAAAGATGAAATTATTTATTTAATATTTCATAAAATATATTAATCATTATTGAATTCATAATGATTCTAATGCACTTTTTGCTTAGTATTTAACCTCTGCATCTTAATCATCACAAAGAGA